CGACAAAATCACCTTCCGGCAGGAAAACACCAAACGAAAACACCATGGCAGTGAAGGACGGAAAAGCATCAAAATGTTTCCTGCTGCTGCTGCTGCTACTGCTGCTGCTGCTGCTACTGCTGCTGCTCCTGCTCCTTTGATCCCTTCTGTTCAAAAGGCGGATGGGCCAGCACCATGGCAGTGAAAGGCGGAAAAGCATCAAAATTGCGCCCCAAAACTACCTAATGTAACTTCTGCAACCCACACAAAAAGACGTGTCTTCTGAAATCCTGCTGTTTCGAAGGAACAGATCAGAGCGGGAAGGGCAACCCAAGGAGCCCCACGTACTTCGAGGAGACTCCGGGAAGGACCCCCCACCGGTAAAACAAAAACCCCGGAGTCAAGGAATCGAGGTACGTGACCGGTGGGAGGGGGACCCAAGAGAGTCCCCCGGCAAAGGGTCATGGTTATTGTTGTTCGTTGTTGTTTCTTGTTGTTTGTTGTTGTTTGGTGTTGTTTGTTATTGTTGTTTGTTGTTGTTTGGGTTTATGTTTGTCTTTGTGGTTGTTGTTGTTCTTGTTCTTGTTTGTTCTTCTTGTTGTTGTTGTTGTCGTTGTTGTTATTGTTGTCGTTGTTGTTGTTATTGTTGTTGTTGTTGTGGTTGTTGTTCTTGTTATTGTTCTTCTTGTTGTTGTTATTGTTGTTGTCGTTGTTGTTGTTGTTGTTGTTGTCGTCGTTGTTGTTGTTGTTGTTGTCGTTATTGTTGTTGTTATTATATTATTATATATTATTGTTCTTGTTCTTGTTCTTGTTGTTGTTGTTGCTGTTGTTGAAATCCTAGAGAATCCTATATCCTATAGAAAATCCTAGATCTAGATCTAGATCCTAGTTCGGGAATCCTAGCTGGGCCAGCGGTTTCGGCCGAATCCCCCAGAATCTCCTAAACAATATTATAGCTGGGCCTGCTGTTTCGAAACTGTTCCGAAACAGCAAAACACCACCTAATTTCGTGCCCAAAACGTAACACATGAACCAAAAAAAAAAGCGGGCGGGAAGGGCAACCCAAGGAGCCCCACGTACTTCGAGGAGACTCCGGGAAGGACCCCCCACCGGTGAAACAAAAACCCCGGAGTCAAGGAATCGAGGTACGTGACCGGTGGGAGGGGGACCCAAGAGAGTCCCCCGGCAAAGGGTCATGGTTATTGTTGTTCGTTGTTGTTTCTTGTTGTTTGTTGTTGTTTGGTGTTGTTTGTTATTGTTGTTAGTTGTTGTTTGGGTTTATGTTTGTCTTTGTGGTTGTTGTTGTTCTTGTTCTTGTTTGTTCTTCTTGTTGTTGTTGTTGTTGTTATTGTTGTTGTCGTTGTTATTGTTGTCGTTGTTGTTGTTGTTGTTGTTGTTGTTGTGGTTGTTGTTCTTGTTATTGTTCTTCTTGTTGTTGTTGTTGTTGTTGTTGTTGTCGTTGTTGTTGTTGTTGTCGTCGTTGTTGTTGTTGTTGTTGTCGTTATTGTTGTTGTTATTATTATATTATTATATTATTATATTATTATTGTTCTTGTTCTTGTTCTTGTTGTTGTTGTTGTTGCTGTTGTTGTTGTTGTTGTAGTCCTTTTCTTCCATCTTCTTCCCTTACGCGCTCCCCCTTGCGTCGGCCGGGGTCGGCGGATATAGAAGTGTAAGATGACACAGGTGTACATAGTTTTAAAAAACACATGAAAAAACAATCACATTTGCAAAAGGGAATTGCCAAAGGGACTTCCAAAACCTTGCAAAAGGATGCAAAAGGGAACTGCAAAAGGAGGGAGAGAGAGAGACAGAGAGAGAGAGAGAGCCAGAGCCAGAGAGAGTTAGAGAGACAAGAATCTTTGTAGCCAGCAGCCCGTTGCACAGATCCACAGACTGATCTGACAGACGTTGACTTCTGAGTCGTGAGTCTTTTCTTCTTTCATAGCTTGGCTCCAGCCGCCATGCCTAGGTGATGTCTCTGAAGGCCAGGGGCCAAAGCAGTGTCCACTCAAACTGCAAGATAGATACATTATTGCAATGGGTCCATAGGTGGACCAGCATGGTGGGTCAACAGCTGTCCATGAGATGGCGGCACTCTGGGTGGAGACATTGATGTAGATGATGTAGCTCTTTGCGAAGCTGAATGTGGCTGAGGATGTTACCGCTTTCTGGCGAGAAGCCCGTGCTGGACTTCTCTGCCTACAGCACTGCGTACAACACCTCAGTCACCACGAATGTTCCTCGGCTGCCGCATCCTTGTGCTGCCGCCTGCCTGTGTGTTTAGATTGACGCTGGCATGGTATTGGCAAGATGGTGTTTCCTTCAACGATTTAAATATCACAATATATGAAAATAATTGATAATATATGATAATATCTTATATAATTAGTTGGATTCAGGTTAAATTTGAGGCTCCTGTTGCAGTTGAGGGGTGAATATGGTGAGTCAGTCATGACCCCGTCTCCAGGACCGTCCTTCCTTGTCAAGGCCACTGTCACAGGCTGAGGCAGATGGGGCCAGTTGGCCACTTCTTGGAGGGCATTACAACCTATGCGGGTGGATCATAATATGTCAAGAACTACACTACACTATAATACCAAGATTGGAAAGATGAAGATCGATTTTTGAGGTCCACTTATGTCCACTAGGTCACTAGGGTAGGATCTTTGACCACAGCCATCCACCAGAAATCCCCTTGATGGACCTACAGAGGCACCGAGGCGGCGCATGTTTGCTGGGATAGAGATCCCTGGAGTGCGTGGCTTGCGAGGTCACGAGGCTCGGCGGTCCCGCAGAGGGGTCCAGGATGGATCGAACTTCTTCGGTGTTTAGAAAAAACATACTAAAAAAAAGGAATGGAAATCAATGGAATAGATAATACATGAGAATGTTTATGTGTATTGATATGTGTATGTTATTTCACAGGTGTGGGATGACGGTCCCATTTCTTTTTTTTGCCTGGTTAAACCACCAACCAGTTCTGATTCTTCCAAACCTCTGTGCCGGAAAACATGGTAGCCGCCAATGATGGCTTCGAGTGAGCTGCCCAGCTGCAGCCGAATCGTTTTTGGCGTTGCTTCAAGTTGCTAGAGATGTTGATCTCCATGTTCCATCAACATTGAGTGATGATGTTCAATTTAAGAATGACCTATCTATCTATATAATCAATCTATCAATTCCATCAATCTATCAATCTATCAAAAGAATCAATCGAATCAATCAAATCAATCTAATCTATTGATCTATTAATCTATTAATCTACTAATCTATAAATCTATAAATCTATAAATATATCAATCTACAAATCTATCAATCTATCAACCTATTAATCTATCAATCTATCTCTAGCTATCTAGCTATGTAGCGATCTATCTACCTATCTATCTATCTATCTATCTATCTATCTAGCAATATATCAATCTATCAATCTATCTTATCTAATCTTATCTTATCTTATCTTATCTTACTACCTTATCTATCTTATCCATCTCATCTAATCCTATCTAATCTATCTAATTTATCTTACCTATCTAATCGATCTAATCTAATCTATTCTAATCTACTCCAATCTGTTCTTCTATCTATTCTTCTATCTATTCTTCTATCTATTCTTCTATCTATTCTTCTATCTACTCTTCTATCCAGGTATTCTTCTATCACAAATATTCTTCTATCCAAATATTCTTCTATCCAAATATTCTTCCTTCTATCTATCTATCTATTTGTCTATCTGTCTATCTGTCTATCTGTCTATCTGTCTATCTATCTATCTATCTATCTATCTAATCCTATCTCCTATCTATCTATCTATCCATCCATCCATCTATCCATCTATCCATCTATCCATCTATCCATCTATCCATCTATCCATCTATCCATCTATCCATCTATCCATCTATCTATCTATCTATCTATCTATTCTTATCTATCTAATCTTATCTATCTATCTAATCTATCTATCTAATCTTATCTATCTATCTAATCTTATCTATCTATCTAATCTTACCTATCTATCTATCTATCTACCTATCTATCTATCTATCTATCTATGTATCTATCTATCTATCTATCTAATCTAATCTAATCTTATCTTATCTTATCTTATCTATCTATCTAATCTTACCTATCTATCTATCTACCTATCTACCTATCTAATCTATCTATCTATCTATCTATGTATCTATCTATCTATCTATCTAATGTAATCTAATCTAATCTTATCTTATCTTATCTTATCTGATCTTATCTTATCTTATCTATCTATCTAATCTTACCTATCTATCTATCTATCTACCTATCTAATCTATCTATCTATCTATCTACCTATCTAATGTAATCTAATCTTATCTATCTTATCTATCTTATCTATCTTATCTATCTTATCTATCTTATCTATCTTATCTATCTTATCTATCTTATCTATCTTATCTATCTTATCTATCTTATCTATCTTTTCTATCTTATCTATCTTATCTATCTTATCTATCTTATCTATCTTATCTATCTTATCTATCTTATCTATCGTATCTATCGTATCTATCGTATCTATCTTATCTATCTTATATCTTATCTATCTTATCTATCTTATCTATCTTATCTATCTTATCTATCTTATCTATCTTATCTATCTTATCTATCTTATCTATCTTATCTATCTTATCTATCTTATCTATCTTATCTATCTTATCTATCTTATCTATCTTATCTATCTTATCTATCTTATCTATCTTATCTATCTTATCTATCTTATCTATCTTATCTGTCTTATCTGTCTTTTCTATCGTTTCTATCTTTTCCATCTTATCTATCTTATCTATCTTATCTACCTTATCTATCTTATCTATCTTATCTATCTTATCTATCTTATCTATCTTATTTATCTAATCAATCTAATCTGTGCTATGAAGCTGTGTAAAGGCTGGGTGGCCGGAGCATGCCAGCAGTTGCTACATTTGCCAGAGGTTTAGAGGTCAAGATGTTATTTGAACCTGATGTAGGCGGCCTCTTTCTCTCACATAGGTGCACACCTTCCGTCAGACCATGTGGCTTAGGACTGACATTTTTGAGCCCACTGAAAGCGTTTTTGTGTGACCGCGTTCGTCGCAGCAATGGGCTTACTATGGTTGTGGACATGCGCCCCCCTCTACATTGTCCAAGCACTGGCAGACACAGACCTTGGTTTTCAACGTAATCCAGGCCTTGAAGTGGATTGGATGTTGGGGGAAGCAGGTAGAATGATCAGGGCCGCAGAGGAGATCAAACCATGGAGGACACCAGGTTTGCAGGACGAACCTGCTCGACCAACTGTTCCCCGCCGCTTTTCCGCGGACATCGAGTACGTCACTTTTGAATCGGGCTTCCTTCAAACTGGCCGTGGTTTCTTCGCACAAGATGCCAATGAGGAAGCAATGAGAGTACTGACTGTCCGACATACTCTTGGGATGAGCCAGCTGTTGAACAATCACACTAGTTTGCTGCTGGGAAATGAATCCTACATCATCAACGGTGGCGATTTGCCAATTTGCAAGAAACTACCCTTCTTTGGCCAACAGCAATTTGTTGATTTGTTCGCTTGGGCAGCAAACCCCGCCGTCTCGAGATACACGGGAGAGCGTGTTGTTGCTGGAAGGGCTTGCTCTTTGTGGTACTTGCTTTCAACGAATCAGACGAGAATCAGCTTGTGTGCAGCTGGAAACACTCCAGTTGAGTTGAATGTGACCCTTTCCAGGAGTGGAACAACCTTCAACTTCACCTACCAGTTTGACCGCTTAAAGCTTGGAAGTGAGGTACCAGAGCAGCTTTTGCAAAAGCCTCAGATTTGTGACTCATTTGCTCCTGCTTGTGAAAATGGCCGTGGGCTGGATCCGGTTCCATTGGATGCATATATATTCCATCCAGGTATGTCGGTTGAAGACTACAACATTGAGGACCAAAATGTTGCAGATCTCGCAGGAGACGCGGCCTTCATTTGTATGGACTGGCTCTTCCATGAATCCCCCCGACTTGATCACAACTACACCTTGATCTCACGCTATAGCTTGGAAATTAGCCCCTCATTTGGACAGTACCGGCCATGCAATGGCTACCCAGACACCATCCCACCTGGCCCTTCATGTGTTCCCGGGGATCCACGTTTGGTGGGCAGGGAAGCTCCATTTTCTGCTGGCGAAGGTGAGCTAAGGTGTGCTGCAGGGAGTCCTTTAGGCTTTTGGTATCAGCTGCCGAAAGGTGGTCGTTGCTCTACTGGACACAGACCAAGCAAGGAAGCTTGGGCTACTGGCTGTACCTGGTCTGTGCAGAAGCGCTTGAAGACCATTCAACAGGCCTGCTTGCTTAGAAATCACAATTTCCTTCAGTACTGTAAGGCTGACGTCCTCGAAGATAAAGGCTTTGGCAGGAGCATGAAAGCTTTAGAGGCTGCCTTCGCCTCTGAGGATTCATCCTTGGGTGGATGTGCTGATGTTGGTGAACCTGTTGCTCAGGACAGCGAGTCCATGGTGGTAGTTTGATCAACTTTGATATATATATATATAATATGATATAATATAATATAAAAATATAATATACAATATATACTTTGATATACTTTTGCAATCTTGTTATCTATCTTGTTTAGTTGCCCTGGCTTGAGCTCTTCATAGTCTGAGCAAAAGTGCTCAGACTTGCAGCATCCTGCGCTGTCTTGATTGCGCCTAGGCATCGAATCTAATAAAGTTCTTTGTCAAAAGCCCTGCGCTGGCAGACTGGAATGCAAGAGTAGGTACGGTGCCAAGGCATTTTTGGCCGCTCGACAGGCGCAGAATGTATCTGTTTGATAAGTAGCATCTCCGTCTAAGGAGGCTTTTCATGCCTCAGGCTCTTGCAAGGCGCAAGCAGATCATCCCGCCGAATTGAAATTGAATGAAATTGATGGGAAGACGAGCCATATGGAGCCATGATAGTGATCAATCATGTGCTATGACCTGATGCTTTCTCGACAAGGACCAAAAAGGATTGCAGACATCGCTTGACTCTGATCACGGCAGAGAACCTTTCACCAGATTGCAATAAAATACTTGTGAACACAGAGAAGACCAGCAGACTTGGTCTGAAGGCGATGGAGAGAGAGAGGGAGAGAGGGAGAGAGAGAGAGAGAGAGAAGACCAGCAGATCGGCGAACCAAATTGATTACCAATGATTACCAGGTGGCTGTCCATGGACAGAAATGTTGAGAAGACATGGCCAATTCTTTTTCACAAGACATCTATGTTTTGAACTGTTTTGATACGACCATTCCACTACAACACAAACACAGACAGCACTGAGTTCCTTTCACTACTCAAGTTCAATCGCTTTGTCACAGTCTAGCGGCAAGCGTTACTTCTGTTTCATGAAGTAGTATGTTCTCTGCATGTCATCCCCCTTCCTTGTACATATCGATTTTAGATTCAGTTCTTTTCAGCTGTCGAGACTTCGCCAGTTGGTGGTTAAGATTCGACGATGACGGAAATCACGCTTTGTTTCCATTCTGAATTCAGCTGCGGGAGCTGACAGATCTGGCAGGCTCGCACCTAACTCTCTATGTGGACAGAGTAGCGAGCTTGAGTGAGAAGCAGTGCCTTGCCCCGCCTGAGACGCTCCAAACCGCCAAGCAATGGAATTTTCTCATCATTTCATTCGTGTGTCGGGCCTGTAGGGCTTCTAGTTTTCTTTGATCACATTCATTGACACGATTACTAATGCTAAAGACATCTAAAGACCCTTCCTGCCACCTCTCGACGAACAGTGCAGCCAAGAAGTTCAGCCTGCGCTAAGGGCAGCATTCGTGATGCGAGATCTATTCCGTGCGGTGGCGTACATGCACAACTCGGGAGTTTCATGGTCAAGATTGAGTGACTACGGCGGGTCGCAAGCATTTTGCAGTCTTGAAGTGGTATCATTTCGTATCCAGCTGTTTCATGGGAGAGGTTCAAAGAAAACACTCTGCATCACAGCAGAGCAGACAAGCTATTGCACTTCCATTGAATGACATTGTCTTTTGCCACGTGTTCATACTTTGTTCTAGAGTTCCATGAGCGTGAAGTCTGAAGCAAGCAGGCTACAGGCATTGCATGTTTTACCAATGAAATCCATTATATGACATGTATGCTGAATTGAGCCACACGTACTCAGCGTACTCAGCTCTGTCAGTGGGTCAGTGCTTCTTGGACCAAGGTGGCCCATCGCAACTTAACTTGCAGTTTCTGGGAATGGGTTGTTTGCCAAAGCCGCAGTCCTTTCAAAAGCAGAATACGGACTTTGTGAAAATATGCCGGTATGAAAAATACATGAGAAAGGGTCAAAAGATGGTATGAAGGTATGTTCATATAGCCCGCCGTCACTTCGCCAATGTGTGATTTACGTTGATTTACTGCGAGAAGCGGTAGGGCGCTTTCAAAAGCGACACCATCCCGAAACATGGAGCTCCCAGTGTGTGGTACAATAGGGACCTTGAGGAGCGATACCCCAAATTGATGACCATAGAACTAGTACCATGTTTTTACATGGCACACGTATGACAAGATATTAATATTAAGATAATGTTTCATGACACACATGCTTTACAACAATGCACTTTCATAATGAAGAGACAGACACATGCACAGACACCCAAGCTCCGTTGTAGGTGTTTATCTGTCTTTCAATCCACCTTGAACCAGTCAAATGTGCATGTCAACCGGTGTTATACGATAATGATATAATATATAATATATATTCACATATGTATTTGTTTGTTATTGTTTTTCTATTTAATATATGTGCACCTGTATGCCTATATATATATATGTATATGCACAACTATATGTGCATACATTCGCACACGCATTATATATATAATATGTACATGTAGTATACATGACCTGTACATCTACTTCCGCTACAGTATATCGTTTGTTGTTGGAATGACCTTGAGGCAGCATGATTCAGTCTTCTTGTCGTTTTTAGCAGTTCCAGAGGCAAACAGCATGGCATCCATGCGCAAGCTGAGGTGATTTGAAGGGCGAGAACTGCCTCATGTTGACGCAAGCGCCGCCGGAGAGGACACTTGGCTGTCCCCTTTAGTCTGCATGGACAGAGGGCCAGTGTCCTCGGACCAAATCTAGGTTGCTTTGAATTGGGTGGAGACCTGTACAAGAAACGGTCCAAATCATTCTGTGGCTAAACGTGGCAATACGCAGTTATTATATCAGACTATATCAGACTATATCATACTATATCATACTATATCATACTATATCATACTATATCATACTATATCATACTATGTCATACTACATCATACTACATCATACTATATCATACTATATCATACTATATCATACTATATCATACTATATCATACTATATCATACTACATCATACTATATCATACTATATCATACTATGTCATACTATATCATACTACATCATTCTATATCATACTATATCATACTATATCATACTATATCATACTATATCATACTATATCATACTACATCATACTATATCATACTATATCATACTATATCATACTACATCATACTATATCACACTATATCATACTATATCATACTATATCATACTACATCATACTATATCATACTATATCATACTATATCATACTATATCATACTACATCATACTATATCATACTATATCATACTATATCATACTATATCATACTATATCATACTATATCATACTATATCATACTATATCATACTATATCATACTATATCATACTATATATATATATATATATTGCTATCTATATCATTTATTTGGAGTCCCCTGCGTTAAGGCAGTTCCATTCAGCTTCCGGTGCTTTCTGGATCCACAATTCTTGGGCCAGGAATCGCCTAAAACTCTGCGATTTCGGGTTGTGACTGAACTGCAGTTGATGGATCTCAGCCTTGGTACCATGACAAACGACAAAAATATGGCAAATATCTGCAAGACATGGAATGTTTAGGGATGTCCAAAGACGATTAGGGACGGCGAAATTCATGTATTTTGTAATTACATATGATTACCCCATCAACAGTGAATTAGAATTTAGAATCGTTTTCTTCCCCGGGAGAAGCATTTTTTTTTCAAAGTTCCAGTCAGCTTGGTGCCGTCCATCCGTTTCATGCACTCAGGTCCACAACGTTTGAACCGGGTAGCTCGGCCAAAAGCGTGGTAGCTGTTTGAAGCTGTTTGCGTCTAGTCACGTCTAGAATTGCCGTCCCACCACATTTTGGTATACAAAACCTGTCTTCCTGATGTCTTTTGGGTGTGTCCAATCAATTCCTAAGTGCACAGTGGGTACCATTTGCCGACTTCACCCAGCACCAGGTCAGCCCTTCTGGGCAGACGCTGCTACATCAAGCTGCCCAGAATGAGCAGCACGCCCTGGAGGTGCAGCACACTGGCAAAACAGGATAGATTTGGGAGATTCCGGTTGTAATCACCATTCAAACAATGGCTCTTGGATCCTTTTGATCCTTATGCAAGCCACTGGCCAGTTGCAACGGGAATCTTTTTTTGGTCAAGTTTGATCCATGGGAGGTCGCCAAAGTGTTGATCCACTTCAAAGTGGATGTGAAAAAAACCGACATCTACGGGCAGACGTCCATCTTCTATGGCATAGAATATGGGCGTTTGCCCGTAGATCTATGCAGCCAGGGATGGCAATGCAGAATTGCGGCTTGGCACAATGTGGTCGCGTTTAGTCAGGTTTGAACATCTATCACAGAATATTTTTTCTCACTGAGGGAGAAAAAACCCTTCACCAATCAGTACCTGAGGAGTTTACATCCACCTGTTTTGGACACTGCTAATATGATTTTTCACCGAGCCAGCTTGTGGCCTGTGGCAGAGGCTTGCCGTCCGAGGCAAGCCTTTGAGAGGACGAGTTGGTTCAGTGACCCATATTGCCCCAGAGGTGCTGACCAGCAACTTGGACACTGAGGGGATGTCTTTGTGATCTGCTTTCCTGTATAAGATTCCCCCTGTCATAGTGTAAGATCCCCTTGTCATCGTTGTTACAAACATCTTTTAAATACTTTTAACACATCTCGATCATCTCGTAACAATGCGGTGAGAGAGAGGGAGAGAGAGAGAGATAGAGAGAGAGAGAGAGATAGAGAGAGAGAGAGTTCGCAGCTTCAAAACTCATTTCTCTTCAACCTTTTTATAAGCGGACATAAGAGAGCAATGGCAGTAATATTGCACGAAGACTTTCATTTTAAGATGATATATTGTTCTGTTGTTTGCTTTGCTGTAGGCTCTGAGAGCTACACATGCGCCATTGACAATTGGAGCGGCGGACTTAGTTCTCTCTGTATGTTCTACCGGATTATATAGGCTTTGAGGGTTTTCAATCTATTCCAGACATTTCTTTTTCGAGATGATTCATTACAGCCCCGTGCCTTGTCCGTGCCCTTCAGATATGAATGGTTGCGAATGCTTTCCGATTCCAACAGTCCAATATTATAATATGTAAAACAGATATTCCACTACTATTCCTTTCTGGACGTTGCCTTCCCATGGCAGCTGGAAAGTTGGCTGCACATGCCCCTTTAAGGCGCCGGCATCATCTTCTATCACGTAATCTGCGGCTTTTTGCCTTTTCAGGACTGTGTCACATTGTGTCACCAAAGCCGCCCTGGGATCTGGGGCCATCAATGCTGAACATGACATTTGTAAAGGAAGAGAAGGATGTGCTGAATGGCCGTCTCTCCTTCGCTGATCGACACTGGTGTATCTTGGCGGTCTTGGCGGAACATTTTTGGATGTTGATCTATCTGCTTGCGAGTTCGATTTGATAAAATTATTGAGATCTGTGAGGCAAATGATGGGAGACTTTCAATCTATATATATATATATATTCATACACATATATAAATTATATAATATAGTAATATAATATATATATATATAATCATAGATAGATGATTTGGATGGCAGGTCGTTTCTTACTGAGCCATTCATTTCTTGGCCGCAGGTGCGTGAGCTACGGCACCTGCTGCGCTTGTTTGGGCCTTTCTCGGAGCCAAAGTATTGATTGGGTTTTGACACATATCCACATGTCATTTTGATGTATAATATGTGTAGCAGGAAATCCTGCGAGGAGATGACTGGTCTTCAACAGCCGGATCCAGTCAGTCCTGGCCGTGCATGGCTGCGAAAGTAGCGAGACGAATGTGCTGGAATTCGTGGTTAGGTGCAAGTTTGCGTGGACAGAAATAGCGGAAAAAACATGCATCAGTGGCTGCTGACACTCAGAGAATGACTCTGGGTCAAACTTGACTCAATCCCTTTGCAAATACTTCTCTATCATTGGTGGCAAATCTAGCTGTCATCTTGACAGTGGTTCACGTTCACTCCAATCCGTTTCGTATGTTGGCTGTGTGTACCACCGTGATGGCATCATGTGTACCACCTATGTCTCCAGATTTGTCCCTTACATCAAACTACATGCCGACTTTTCTTAGCAAACACGCATGGCTATCTACTTGGCTTTGTGCTATTTCCATTCCAAAAATCTATTGTAGTATATATATCATATCGCTGCACAGTCGCATGTTTTTTCTGGTGCTCTCCAGTACTTGATGTTCTTGGTGGTTACATATACTATATACTTATTATCATTATTATCATCATTATTTTCATTGCTGATACTATCATTATTACTTGTGTTCCGTTGTCATCGTATTGACAATGCTATGTATAACTATTATATTATATCACTAGTCATTCCTTTACAACTATTAACACTAGGTTATTGATATTAAGGTCATTCTGATGGCGAACCAAACATAGTCAGACATTTGTAACCAAATAGATTATTTTGTGATCACATTTTTTTTTTTTAACTAGCAACACTATAAGTATCATTATTGTTCTTCAATGATATTATATAAGTTCATCGCAATCGATTACTAATATTGTCAGCAACAGATATTTGTTCATTGCTACTATATGGATATACATCATTATTACTACGTACGTATCATTATTATTGTTCTTCAATCCAAATATCATAGTGATACCATGTCGTATACCATGTTTGTTACTCACTATGACCATGATGTCATGATAATACAAATGTAGTGATTATGTTTGTTATTTGGATTCTCATTTGTTACCATGTGTAATTGTTATCAATATTATAATACTCATTGTTGAATGATAATATTTCCATATATCTCCATCTTTGTGATTTGTTAGCAATTATAACTATAATATCCTGATATTAATTGTGACCAACTATAATGATATCATGATGATAATTAGTCCATATATCTCCAATCTTTGTTACTGAATAGTCACTAATTATGATCATTCAGTCCAAGTATTTCCATCTGACCGTTGACCCATTATCCGACGGGACACCTCTCGGCCCCAAGAGAAGAGCGCCCCCTGCGAGCGCGGCGGGGCCGTGGAGGTGGTGGGCCGTGGGCTGGATGGTTTTTTTCACGGAAAATCCTAGCTATAAATGGATGATAACTAGGGGTAGCCCTATTTAAGGACACATCTATACTTTACTTGTATATATAATAAAAACACACACACAATTCTACATAGATCTATATCTATCTATTATCTATATATCTATAAAATATGGATACATGTATAGTAATGTATAGTGGTTCATTTCAACTCAAAACATCAAAAGGGTTTGAGATCAAACTTGGATAACCCCCTAAGTTGGAAGTGTTTAGTGCTCATAATGATCAGCATTTCAGTAATTTTGAGCTGTTTCCCACCCAAGAAGATCCGCAGTTCAACTTGTAACGTCTAAATTGCTGTACCAATCTAGTTTTATCATGTGTTGTGGCTGTTGATCTGGACGTACCCTAGGCACTTCTAGACCATCACTTAGGGTGCACAATCATTTGCAACTTTGATGTTTCAGGGGCTTGTTCTTCCTGTTTCATCCCATGGAAGCCAGGATCATCCATGGATCATCCATTTGCCGCACATCTTTCGGTAGGCACCATGAGGGTTCGCAGCAATCCGTGGTGCCTACCTGTTTGAACCGGTCCACAGGTCGCTTCTGGCTGCGAACAGTATCACAGATAGCCATCACAGCTAGGGTAAGTGGTTCATGAAGACTTTGCCGAAATTGTCGGACACTTGTTCAAAATCTGTTCCACACTTATTTGGGTATGGGTCAATACCTATAGATACATTTTTAGTGGGATGAACATCCATAAATCCCAGCTATTTTGGGGTTCACTAGGTACCAGGGTTTTGACCCATCCCCATTTTTACAGCTTGGTGATGTTTGATGGTTGATTTTCAACTGGTTTTTTAATCGTTCCTACTCAGTTTTTTTGCAGCTTCCATGGTTGCATGAGCCATGTCAATCTGTGAGACCTCACGATGAAGAGAAACATGAGATCACATGGGACGAATAAAGGAAGAGTGGTATCATTTAATACCATTCATTTATTTATATGTGTATATATATATAAATAAAATTAAATAAATAAATATATATATATGTTCGTTTGTTGCGATGTACCGCACCAATGGCTATAGCATGGCACGGATATATAGATTGGTCGCCTATGGTTTTCGCACCAGGTTTGGTCAGGGTGGCCAGGGTGGCCAGGGCCAGGGTCCTGCCAGAAGCTCAGCCCTCGAAATAACCATGGGATGATGCGGCATTTTTCTCACCATCATTCACCATCAAAAAAACGTGGGAGTTCCTTGGATTCTCAATGACTTGATGTGATGATGATATTCATGGGGTATTCGGACTATTTCGGAATGTTGTTTCACTTAAGATGAAGAGTTTGATTCGATGCCTGTGCTGTCGATGTCGATGAAAAATCTCAGGCCTCGGCTGCCCGGCCAGCCGCTCCCCTACCATCGGGGTACGGATGCCGAAAGCGTCGACCGGCGTCGACTCGGCGTCGACCGGATTCACCGCGGCCAGAAATGTGGAGACCATGGCTGGGGATCATTTATACCAGCCATGAAGATGGTTATGACTTGGGGTTCATGGGTAAACACCACATCAGTAGCTTAAGTAGCTATAGCAACACAAAGATGATGCCGGATTCAGAAACTCAAGCGCATTCAGAAACTACGCTTCAGAAACTCGACGTCGTATTCAGAAACAAGTTCGTGGGATTCAAATCGCATCATCATTTTAGAATATGTTAGATGCCTCTAACAGTCTCGCATGGGTTGTGATGAGATATTCTGATATTCTGGTCATGATCAGTTTATGATTCTAGTTTGGCAGATTCCCAGGCAAGATGATTTTTTCGACAACTGGGATTCTCAGGCACGACAGTCGGGTCAGTCTGAACATTCAGCAATCCAAATCGCATACAAACAAATGGGTTTGTCTGAAAATTTGGGTATATAATATATATATATAATATATACCGGTATACCATCAAATAGCCACTTTAATGGGACATATGGATATGGTGATAAACCATGATCAAATTAGGGGGTACCATATTTTCAGACCTAGCGCTGAGCAGTTTTCTAGGGCAACTGGGGAGATCAGCACCTGCAGTCTCGCGTTGGAGTATACATAGTATACTAACGCAGGTCTTCAAAAGGTTTGTTCAGTTTTTTGTGATTCTATGATATTCTATGTACGTATATACAGTACGTATGTAACATATATGTAACATATATGTATATATTTATAGGATCTATTGGGGTATAATTCAACATTGGAAAGGCGAAAATGGGATCAAACGGCTTGGTCTTTTTTCAGAAAACTCCTAATTCATCAGGTCCCAGGGTCAATTTAATTTTTGATCCATACTCAGCTAGTCATTTGAACCTGTCCTTGCAGTATAAGGGACCTTGATGATGTTGAAGCACCTTTGCCAAGTCCAGACAGTCTGGGTCTTCAGGGTCAGGGATCTGCCCAACCTGCCCATCCTGCCCAGCCTGCACAGCCGGCCCGGCAACCAAGTGCAGTGCTCACTGCAGCAAGTTTATCTTGGATCCCAGTTTCATAGCCCTGTTCATTGGTTATTGCACAGGATTATAATGATTATACCTGGACCTTCCAAAAGCCTTACTTTGAAGGTCCGTTAGCTTAAGGCCATGGCATGGCAAGACAAGTTGCTTGAGGCCCTCATAAGTTTTTACAAGGTCAGTTGGTAACCTTCCAAAATGCAATATTCAAGGACCAAAACATAGAAACATGGAATCAAATTGAATCAATGATGGTATAAAGTCTTTGTGGGGCCTATAGAACCAATAGTTCCTGCATCAAAATGCACCAACAACCACGTAAAGTAGAACTTTCATGACCAAAACCCACTGGCGCACACAGAAAACACACATCACAGCGCAAAAATTCTTGAAACCACGCCAGACCATTTGTCAGTGAAACGTGGTAAGCCCCCTCAAGCTATACACAAATCCAAAAAGGTAACACCCCGCGCCACGCGTTTAGAGCAACTGGCTCATCATGAAATATCTAAATTCTATTTTTTTTTGTGGCTACATTTTTTTCTTCAACGTTTGCTCCTTTTCGCTGCAGTGGCATTTTGCACCCGGGCTTTGCCACAGGTGAGTTTGAGGCGAAGCCGAGACGCGGCTAAGACTCTCCTTTCAAATCCCGTATTGGAAGTATTTCTTGAAATGTTTTTGAGCCATCTCATGGCATCTTCATCAGTGAAACAGTTGGTGTGCCGTGTGTTTTCTCGCTGCTTAACTGCTGTAAGCAATTGGTGGCTCCAGTAGTGATACTTCGGCTTGAGAATCCATTTCAGCAAAGGAGGCCCCTGCGCTGGCACATGCCTGTTTTGTTGCAAATGCCTAGGGCAGGGCAGGAATGTTGATATCAACCGGCCTTGGAGGAATCAATGTAGTGCCTATGTGGCCCACTATATGATTAATCCAAGTTAATTGACCAAAAAAAACACAAAACAACATAAGTTTCAAAACCCCGACCTCATGCTGAGTGTAGTAAGGAGCAAATGGCTTTGACAAAATCTGATACCTGCTGTCATCATCTCAGCGGCTTCATGGGCACGCCTAGGTATCTCAATCAAAACCCATGCGCGCATATTTTAACAAGTTTTCCTTTCCAAGCTTTTACGTGCAACAAAGCGTAAACAAAAAGAAACGCTAAATAGGAAAGTGACAGATATCGACCAGCCCTCTCTGTCAAGTTGAACCACCTGGCAACTGATCTCCTTGATTGGCAGCAAGTAGTTTGAACCGGACAAGAAACCAAAACTCACAACATATTCAACCATATTAAAAGGGTATAATCCCAAACAATTTGTATAAGCTCCCACCAGGTTTCAAGCACACAGAGGCCAAACCAAATTCAGGATCTGCTGGGTATGGCCAGGTTCGGTGGCCAAGAGCAACTTGCTGGGAAAGCCATACCCCAATAGTTCGACCATTTCCCGGCAGCTGTTTCGAAATGACAACGTCGCAAGCTTCAGCCATGTACTGGACAATCACACGGCCATTGAACGCTTTGTGGGTCATGCAAATGTTGCCATTCTTCTTCACTACCTTAGATTTTTCTATGGTAAATGGTGATGTGGAACATTTATAAACATTTAAGAGTTTTTAAGTTTGCTTGATTTCAGATTGAAATTTGAAAAATATGCGCCAGCTGGTGCCAAGAACAAGCCACCAACCCAGGTGTCCAAACCCCCTGTGTGCACTGCAGTTTTCGCGCCTTTCGCCAAACTTCAAAATCCCGGAAAGCACGCCTCAAATTGAGAGCCAAGCTCTCTTCGGGATTGCCGTAAAGTCCAGCAGTCACAAGGGAAATCCTTAGCACGACAAACCCAGTCACACCTGTGCAACCACCAATGCGCCCAAACACACGTGCACAAACGAATCATTGGAAATATGATGAAAGGGACAAAAGCATGTGTATATAAAAATTTTAAAAGCTAATTCACCTGCAAAGTTTCAAAGCGGAGCCGTTACAAATTTGTAAAAGCCCCAAATTCATATTGTGCATTGAACACAAACGAAGTGTTTCAATGCAAAACCCCGGCAATGCCAACAACGGACAAATGTTGTTTGCAGGCAGCACTTTCTCAGCCCAAGCCCATGTGTCAGAATGCATTGTTTGCGTCCAGTCAGCATCAGGAACAGTTTCAGTATAGAGTGGGTGTCCATCACTCTTTGCTTCACAAAACATGCAAATGCTTTTTGCTTGCCACCCCACCTTTTCAAAGTTCCAAATAAGCTTATGCCAGCCAAGGTCACCTCTTAATTCAGTGCATAGAAAACGAGATCCATCACTGCAAAGCTGCCCTCCATCGGCTCTCATGCCCTTGAATGCCAGGTGGAACCCCCAAACGATTCTTCGAAAGATTGGGTACAAAGTACGGTTTCCCAAAACCAGTGCTGAGCGTACTGCGAAAATACAGAACCTTGAGTACCTGATGCTGGCAGGGCGGTGTAGAACCAGATTCAAAAAGACACCCAGCACTTTGTTGTCTGAGAAAGCGCCACCGTACTTGGTTTCGTCAGCATAAAGCCCAACTGGAATGATTCCAGGCCCTCCCAGTCGCGCCCAGCCAGCACCAAATCGCTTCCCCCACGACCAGTAGAAATTGACGTGCGCCTCTGGAGTTCTCAGCTTAGCAGTGTCATGAACATAAGCAAGAACATCGTGAACATCCAGCATAGGGAGCTTCATAGTAGATACGCAATTCTCGTCTTGCAAGTCTATGACTGGCACTTCTACATAGCGAGGTTCCTCCAAGGTTCGGGAATGCCAATATATATAGCATTATCCCCGGCCCCAATCAAAGCTACAAATCTACGTGGTATTCACATATATCCGCTAATTTGCCAAACTTCATGCATACCCCACACACATTGAAGGGATGTTAGGGGGTTCAGATCCATAACATGTAAGATAAAAAGTGATCGATGGGTTGCGGCCATGCCACTAGTGGCAATTTGCAAAATCTCCAGAAGTCCCGTTGATAGTTGCCAACAGGGCGGCTTGGCCGGCCCAGTTTCTGCAAGTTGGATGTCCTAGAAGCGGGCGTTGAAGCGTCCTGCACACATTAGCAGACTCTGGCCCTCCCATACCCTCTAACTGGTAACCGCACAGACGTATATACATGAGATGATACATGCATATAATGCATGTTATAAATGCAGAGCCGAACACAAAAAAAAACGTGCACTTGCACTGAGCATACCCTCACGCATGCAAGTAAACCCTAGCGGCCAATCCTTGGCGCTGGCCACAGCACCTTCCATCACTGACATGACACTAGCGGCCTTGCGAGCAGTCAAGTTATAAAGGATCTTCAAAATAAGGCTGTTGGAAGGTTCAGGTCTATCGATCGAAATTAATTAAGCTAATATTTGTATCCCCCTTTGCCCAACAAAGTTCAACTGGGATGTGGCAGCAAGGATCCTTGGGCGACCTTTCAGAATTCTGATGAATGAGAATATAAGATCTTATAATTAGGATGAAATTCATGTATTACGCCACCCTTCAAATGTCCAACAATGTCCAATATTTATTTATAATATAATATAGATCAGATATATATATTATATAATATATAAAATATATATACCACCCATCGGGCATCTACGATATGGGGGGCTCGAATCCCGTGGGACAATCACATCGATTCAATTCGATTCAAATGATTGTTTAAAAAGTATATCCCGAAGACGATATCATTTTGGCATTCATGATCAAAAATATAGAGTAAATCTCGATAAAATCATCTTATCTGGCTATCCCATTGACCCACCACCAATGCGCACCCGATCAGCAACTTTGGATTGGGCATTGACGACCACATGATCCTGCTCCAAGTCGCTAGAATCACCTGCGTTGGGCCCATGCTCAGGCAGGCAAAAAAAAACATATCTTAATATGTGGTGTATAAAGGGACTAGATTTGAAGTCATATATATATTATTCATATATTCTGAGATCGAGATTTTCCTTAGCCATAATATTGGCCAGTGAACCATATATTCTTTGGATTGTACTCCCCTTCATGGAAATCATAACCAAATATGTTTGAAGTCAGTTTTGAAATACTTTTTTTGGATCCAAGAAATCCGGGACCAAGATAAGGTGAAATCACTAGCCCCCTCAAAAAGACAGGTTAACCAGTTGTGACATAATATATTTTATGTTAGATAGATCTGTTATGTCATATATAACCATATGGGGTGCCATTCCGCCTGTTTCACGCCGATTTGAGCACAAAGGATCCAAAAATGGAGTTGGGGATCACCCCGGAAGATTTCTCCACATAAATTAGCTGTTTCGAATCCACACAGAAAAAACTGCACTGCACGCCAATGGATGTTTAAACAAAAATTATGCGGGTGTTGTGCATCGTACTAGTAACCACATACTAAGTTTCAGCAGGGCAAAAATGTTAACGCAACTTGTATAGTGACCTGATGATGGATTTCTGCAGAACCAATTGCCTGGCTCTCAGTCTTTTCATCTGGAACCGAGGGCGGGCGCCAACTCTAAAGTCCAAGTCTCTCCAACCGAAGCCAAATTGTAAGGCTCTCACCAGTCACCGCTTGTAACCCCAGCACCTTTGACCATGGCCTATACATATATCATTATATCATTGGAATTAGCAAGGACCAAACAAACCATTGGGATAAAATATAATATAATTTATATATATAACCGGAAATTGTTTCAGAAAGGCCTTGGACAGGTGTCATCAACACACAAACGGGAGCTAGGGTGATACCAAATCAATCATCGGTCGATCAAAATGTTTCGATCTCTCATCATCGATCTCAAGACGTTTTGGGCTTCTTACTGGCCTTACCTTTGCAAGGCTTCACAGCCTTATCAAATGCCTCAATCAACCCATGCAGATCCCCAGTGAGACCTTCCAGCCGTTCACAATCCTGCGGCGGCCATTTGGGGATTCCATATTTTGGGCATTATTTTTAGATGGGACACATATCAGAATCAGGTGATTACATGTAAGTCATTTTTCTTCGGATTATCAGTGTTCATCCATGATCCATGTGCATATGGAGTTCAAAGGATTACATACAGGGATCGATATACCAGGTAGGAGTCAATTATTTAAATTTAGAGGAACCCGATGGAAGATTGCAAACATAGGATTTTTGGGGCCGGTCATTGGGTTATTTTATGGAAAACCATAGCTCGCCAAAACAACCCCTCCAAATCAAATAAATCATTGGTACAAACATGATCGGGTTGAATTTCATACTTTCGTGTTTGAGGAATTGATTTTTGATTGAGTCCTGGTCAGAATCCAAAGCCTTTTGCAAGGCTGCCCGGCCGGCGCACACGTCTCGCACTGAGGTCTGGATGTCTTCCACCACTGCATCGCGCAACTTGTCAGACCTGAGGGTGGCTGGCAAAGGGTGGAACCAGGATCTTAGGATCTATATTATATAATATATATATTACATATCGGGCCAGATACTAATATTAATATAAATTAATTAAGGGAGATATGAACCCAATTCAACCACCCTTCAGGGCCCAACTGAACGGCACTGCTCATCAGTTGAATGAAAAATCAGTGACACCTTTTTTGGGGCTAATAAATACCTGTTTGGCTCATCATTGAGAAGTATTTTGGGAGGAATATATTTGGTTGGTACATGTTTGAGGCTTGGACAATTCATTGGCTTTGTCCTCAAATCCCTTTGCATCTTTGATCTTCTTCCCGGCAGCATCAACGGCCTGCAGAAGAATTATTAAAACGACCCACGCTATTTTCAAAAGATATATTATATATGGCCAATATTTGATCCGCTATATTTTGATTTTTGTGGGAGGCACCCTTATATATATATATAGAAATCTTGCTAGGGAAATTTATTTGGGTATAATAATACTTGGGAAAGAGTGGGTCACATAAAACTGTGCATGTAGTATTTCGCTTCCTGAAAAAATACTTTATCATTGGCCATCAGCGTAGAAAACAATACAAGTGTTTTCCCTGAACGTAATATAGTTGTTGGGGTTAAGATAAGCACATCTTGCATCAAGTTGAATGGGAAGGCATTCGGCTACAAACGCAACCACTTAGATGGGAGGAGGCAGAGAAGACAGGAGAAGAAGAAAGAAGATCAGATCTTAAGATCAAAGAAGAGATAGTCAGAAGAAAGAAGATCCAGGTGCGCGAAAAGACTGTGTTTTTCCAATGGTTTCTGGCTCCGGACGGTCGAAAAAGTAGGCTCGTCAAAGCGGCAGGTGCGGAGAAATCTGTGGCAAACCGTTTGGTGATTCTGTGGGAGTTTTTTGCGCCCAATCGTAAAGCCCCAAGCCCCCAGCACAAGCCTTCTTGGCCTTTCGCTCCACTTCTTTCTTTTTGGCTTTCAGCTCTGCGTCTTCTGACTTGTTTTCGTCTTCTTCTTTCACCTCCTTCTTTACCTTTTTCTCCTTGTCCTTCTTCCCTTTGGCTTGTTTCTTTGGTTTTGGCTTCTGTTCCTCCTGGTGGGCGCAGCCAAGATCGGAAGACAAGTAGACCCACCCCCTGATCATGATGATTCGGTGTACATGTTGAAATCATATGTTTGAACACGGCATGTATCCGACCGAAAGACCATGATACCTGCCTTGTTGCCCTTTTTCTTGCCTCCGCTGGCCTTCTTTGACTTCTTTTTCTTGCTCTTCTTCTTCTTTTTGTCGCTGCTGGAGCTGCTGTCTTTCGAGCTGGAGCTGCTCGAGGACGAGCTGTTTTCTTCGACTGCCTTGTACAGCCTCGAGATGACTGTTTCGTTGCTGTCGACAACCTTGTCCATGTTCAACGTCAGGTATTGCCTCATCTCTTGGCACCCTGGTGCTTCAGGGTGATCTCTGACCTCATTCTTCCGAAGTTCCTCTGTCTCTTCCTTTCGAATTATGATTGCCTCTGCCCCAGCTTGACCGAAGCGCTGTTCTAGCTCACGACGGGTCATCCATTCCCTCACTCCCATCTTTTGAGTCTTCTCAGTCGATGTGCACTGTAAGTAAATTTTGCTTTTGGTCCAATCTCCTCCAGCTTCACTCCAACTTTCGTAAAGGACTGACATGAGGTCCTTTCCTGGGATTGCTTGGTCATATACATGCATGCATGCATGCATGCATGCATGCATATATATGATGACCGCACTATTTGCATTCAAGTTTCGGCCGATGGCCGTTTTCCCAATCTTTCGGATTTCAGGTGGGGAGTTGACACCTTACATGTCGATCGAAGAGAGGAGGTGATATTGTATAATACTGCCTGAATTGAATGAATGAATATATCGATCAACGCACTGCGTATAGTACTGAGTGCTGGGCTTGTCAGGGACCTGAAGTATTTCATGTACCTGGCATGCGCAGCCTTTTTCTTTTCTTCAAGCTTCTCTCTTGCTTTCCTCTCCTTCTCAGTCTCTTCTGGGTCAGCCTCTGGGGATTCTTTTTTCTTTTCCTCGTCACCTGTCTTTGCAGCTTTGGGTTGCTTGTCGTCACCTTGCTGCGCATCTGCTTTTCGTTTCCCATCGGGCGCTGGTGGTGGTGCTTCTGCTGCTGCAGATTTCTCCTTGGCTGGTGCTGATGCTGGTGCAGGTGCTGTGGCCGATTGACCATTCGTGCTCGAAGATGCTTCTGTCCCTGTTGTACTTGGTTGTGTACTGGCGTCAGTTGCAGGTGCTGTGGCTGGTGCTTTTTCGCTTTTCTGATCCACGGCCACTGTCTTGGGTTCGGCTGCAGGTGCTGTGGCTGGTGCTGTGGCTGGTGCTGTGGCTGGTGCTTCTGCATTTTTCTGCTGTTCGGTTGCAGGTGCTGCGGCTGGTGCTTCTTCGTTTTTCTGCTCCACGGCCGCTGTCTTGGGTTCGGCTGCAGGTGCTGTGGCTGGTGCTGTGGCTGGTGCTGTGGCTGGTGCTTCTGCATTTTTCTGCTGTTCGGTTGCAGGTGCTGTGGCTGGTGCTTCTTCGTTTTTCTGCTCCACGGCCACTGTCTTGGGTTCGGCTGCAGGTGCTGTGGCTGGTGCTGTGGCTGGTGCTGTGGCTGGTGCTTCTGCATTTTGCTGCTGTTCGGTTGCAAGTGCTGTGGCTGGTGCTTCTTCGTTTTTCTGCTCCGCGGCCACTGTCTTGGGTTCAGCTGCAGGTGCTGTGGCTGGTGCTGTGGCTGGTGCTTCTGCATTTTTCTGCTCTTCGGTTGCAGGTGCTGTGGCTGGTGCTTCTTCGTTTTTCTGCTCCACAGCCACTGTCATGGGTTTGATTGCAGGTGCTTCTGTCTCTTGCTGGTCCACTGCTCTTGCTGGCTCTGCTGCAGTCTGCCCATTCGGTGTTGTGTTCTCAGGGTTGCTGGGTTTTGCCACTGCTGCTGATGCTTGCTGGCCTTGACCATTGGTCGTGCTTGCCTCTGGTGTTGCTTGGCCAAGTTTGCCATCAACATTCTTCAAGTCAGCTGCTGGTTCTGTTGTGATTGCCTGTTCTGCTCTTGGCATAGCTGTGCTTGCATTTGCTGTTGATTGGCTGGGTTGGCCAGCAAGATTCTCTGTTGCATTGTTTTTGCCTGCTGTTGCTGGTGCCTGTTGGCCTTCGTCGCTGGTCATCACTGCCTCGCTTGGTGTTGGATGCTCAGCTGTGGTTGCATGTGCTGGTGCTTGGTCCGACAGACCTGCTGCCTCTGTTGTAGTCGTATCCTCCGGTTTTGTGTTGTCAGCACTGCCCTTCTGCTGATTATCTGCCACTGCTGCTAAACTTGGCTCCAGAGTCTGCTTGACAGGCGTGCCAAGCAACTGTTGCAAGGCATCCTTCTCAGGGCCCTCTGGGAGTAGTGTCAGAGCACTTTGAAGATGCACCAGCTGGTCCACAGTTGAGGATCTCAACAAGTTCCCACAGGCTGAAGAAGAAGTCAACGAGGGCAGGGACTCAAGGGAGAAACTCCGGTTCAAGGTTGGCTTGTGAGGTGTGAAGTACTCCGTAGGTTGGGAACCAACACTTCTCCAGTCATGGCCGGCATCTTTCCATGACCAAGAAGGTGAGTCGTGATGTTGCCAGTAATCTGGTGTCCATTGTGATTCCTGGTAGCCATGGTAGTCGTACTGGTCATAACCATAACCATAACTTCCATAGCCATCATCCCAACCTTGCCAGTAGTGAGATCCTTCCCATTCTTTGGTTGGTTCTTCAGGTTCCACCGGCACTGTGTCCCCCCGAGCTGGAGTTGCCACTGGTTTGCTGCGTGCAGCTGCTTCCTTTTCCAACATGGTACGTACTTGCTTCATTGACTCTTCCAATGCCCGTGGTGTAGCAGGAATAGTTTCCTGGGAGTCAGCTCCTGGCAATTGCGCCAGCAGATTGAAATAAGGTTTGCATTCCATGGACCCAGGATATATACAAATTTTATTATAATTATATATATTAACCGGGACCGAATATAGATAATTATGAACGGATATTATATACATAGGATAATTATGCATGAACGGATATCGATAAGATAATTAAATTACATTATTTCGAGTTATCCCCACCATGACATTTATACATTTTGTTACTGGCAAACCTTCTAGTTCTGGCATTCTATCTGACATACCTTCTGGCATTTTATCTGGCATATCTTCTGGCATTCTATCTGGCATATCTTCTGGCATTCTAGCTGGCATATCTTCTGCAATCTGTTCTGGCATATCATTCTAGCACTCTATCTGGCATATCTTCTGGCATATCTTCTGGCATTCTATCTGGCAAACATTCTGGCACTTTATCTGGCATACCTATTAATATTGGCATTCTATCTGACATTCTATCTGGCATACCTTCTGGCATTCTATCTGGCATACCTTCTGGCATTCTATCTGGCATATCTTCTGGCATTTTATTTGGCATATCTTCTGACATTCTTTCTGACATATCTTCTGACATTCTTTCCGGCATATCTTCTGACATTCTATCTGACATCTTTTCTGACATTCTTCCCGTTGAGGTCCGGCAATGCCCACTGCGCGGTTGAGGTCCGGCAGTGCCCACTGCGATCTGGAAGTCGCGGTTGAGGTCTGGCAGTGCCCACTGGGATCTGGAGCTCGCGGTTGAGGTCCGGTCCGGCAGTGCCCACTGCGATCTGCAACTCGCAGTTGAGGTCCGGCAGTGCCCACTGGGATCTGGAGCTCGCGGTGGAGGTCCGGCTGTGCCCACTGGGATCTGGACTGCGAGGAGGAGGCGGCGGGAGAGGGGGCGGAGGAGGCGGAGGAGGAGATGAGCTCGCTCTGTTAAAATCTAGCAATCCTCACCTGGCAGGTGGGGAAAATATATAATAATACTGACCCAGCGAGTGTTTAAACTTTTTTGGGGAGGGGAACCCACTGCACTGACTAAGTATATTATAATATGATTATGGTGATAGGCCCCGAAATCTCCTCGCATGCTATCCAGCTGGGACGGCTTCGAAGGAGTCTGTTCATTCTTTTCTTCACCACCCGACCTCATGATAGCTGGGAAAAACATATTTTAGAGGGTTCCAAAGCCTTAATGTTCATAGAAGGATACTGTATTCTATGTACGATTGTGGATTTTTTCATAACAAACAGCATAGAAAGTCTGCAAGGATAGTTGGTGATGTTATGGGTAAATATCACCCACATGGAGACTCGTCATAATTATTTAATATAATAAATGCATATCATGGGAATTCAAAGGGTACCCCAAATACCAAAGTAGTTTGGATATGGTTTGACCCACGGTGTTGCCACAACTGCGGTCTGAGGCTGTGGCAGTTTCGCCTGAACAGCATGAGTCCGCTGTTTGGCTTTCTCCAAGGCCGCTTTGGCCCGGTCGGACATGGTGTCAGGTAAGACTCACCTAGCCCTCAGAGCCTCAAAATGCCACTTAGGCCGACACTTGTAGAATATATGCTGGCCAAAATGGTTTGCTATTATTTGATTTTCTGGAATTCATTGGTGGGGGCTATGCATATCACCCAAATTGATCCAAAATCCATTGTCCATCCTGTGTTTTGCACAAGTATTTTTAATTTTTGGGGCAAACACGATAGCTCTCAATGATCAAAAACGCTATTCCCAACAATCTATAAACTAAGTACATTATCAAGGGACCATATAGACATGAATTTGGTTTTATCGATACCCGAAAATTTCGGAAAATCTAGGCCCAACTTTCACGGGCCTTTCACGCCGTGGGACGGCCTTTCACGCCGTACGAGGGCTTTTTCACGCTAATTCACGCTCATTCACGGTCCACTTTTTCAACGAACATTTTCGGAAAATGAAAAAACACACCAAACCAACCAATCTCAAATGGTTTATCATGCCACCTGATGGCTTTTCGAAGTTAGATTTGTTGAATCATATATGTCACGGTCAGACATAGTCAAAAAGGGGAAATATACCATTGCATCCCTTGAAAGAAATCTGAGAAATCCATTTTTGTTTGCTTTGGTCCACCTGGCCACCACTCTGAATTACAATTTCTTCCCATCGCACCATTGATACACAGTCTAACTGACGAATTAGAGCCAGATTTGGCGTATATCATTTCGAATTTCACGTTTCCTAGAAACGTGAGACAATAATCTACGATGTTCAAGTGCCAGCGTTTGGCTTCCAACAGGGTTCCCGAGATCCAGGCTCCAAAAATTTGAATCCAACCATTCGGGAGAAACTAAAACCCATTGGCCCAACATGGGAAGTGGAAGATAGCATGCATTGTATATATATTATAATATATAGTTGTTACCGGGCCAGACATTTTAGTGTCTACCCCATATGACTTCCCACATTATATAATATACCGACGTAAAAAAATATAGGATATCTGGATGGGATCCCAAGTATGAGCCAGTCATCGGCCCTGGTGAATTTTCTGACACTGGTACTGCAGTGTTCTTAATTAGGGAAATTTGTGGATGGGGCGGTACTGGCCCATCGCTTTTTTGGTCTTCAGCATTTTGCTGATCTCATCAAGGTTCCCACGCTTCCAAATGGTCTTCTGGACGCGGATCTGCGAGGCAAGCAGCAGCACTGGAATGGTTAGTGGGGAGATCAAAATGGGATCAATGGTTGGGGAAGCGATCATGCAAGTGTTATTTTATGACTTCGATCCCCATAGCAAAAGAAATAAGGGTTCAAGAACTTTCTGAACCAAGAATGCAATTCCCTAAATTGTAGTAGTACTGTACTACCTAAGTTTGTCACAAAATGGAAAGATCCCCATGGCCCCGTTTCCGCTTTTGGTTGGGCCATGCCTTGAAGATACTTTTCAAGACTGCTACAGTAACACGTATTCCCAACGCCTTCTTCCTGCGGTTCTGGAATGTCTTGGCCGCTGCATTCACATATGCCTTGAGCCTGAAGGCATGTTTCGCCTGGCAAGGCCGGTGCATAGTATAAATATTTTATAGGGACCTAATTTATATAATCCTGGGGAATGGGAATGCTTATAATGCTGAATCATCAACTGGTCCCCATTCTAGTTTCTAGCCGTTACCTGGTAGGATATGATTCCGGCCTTCAGGGCGAAGTGCATGGCATACAATTTTTCGGCAAAACGAACAGGATACACTTGGGTTTTGCGAAGGTTGGGACCTCCTTGCCTCAGCCACCACAAATATCGTTGCCATAATTCTTTTGAAGGGGATGGGCCCATGTATTGTCTTTCAAAAAATGACATAAAAACTCTCAAGCTTTCGAATCAACCTAAGAAGATGACACTGACTTCCGGCCATCAGGCAGCTGCTTCACAATAGTAATCCCCTTAGACGACAACTTCGCTTTCTCGAACTGGGTCAGCTTCTTCTTGAGTTGGGAAACATATGGCCTTAGCTAGTGGGCTACGCAATATGACTTGAATTTTCTGGATAATGCGGGTGGTAATAATAATTGTCTGGGGTGGCTTCCTCATCAAAGAATTTGAAGTTAAAAACATGATATCAACCAGTGGGCGCTCACTGATGTTCTGTTGCTTCAGGCTGAGCACGCAGCGTCGAAGCAATGGCCATCGAAAGCTTTGGCGAAGGACTTCCCCAGCTTCCCATCCAGCTTGGCCGTTGCCGAGCGGTGCGTCATACACTGGGGGGGTTCCTGAACAACTGCACTGTGGAGATAATATAAATACGGATGGAATCCTATAAATCTTTTTAGGGGCCAGGTTATGGTCTTGAAATCTCCACAATAGTAGTACTAAAACCAGGGCCTGGATCAAATCTACAATATCTTAGAATGTGGATTCGATCATATATATAATTATCATGTACACATGCATGGCATGCATGCATGCTATGATGGATTTGAATATGAAATCATTGGGGCCCCGACAATCTCTGGAAGTAGGAGGCGATGCCGCTAGTTTCCATCAGAGTCCGGAGAAGAATCAATTCAGGAAAATGTCGAACCTGAGAGGAACCTGGCTGTTCCAAAAACCAGTAACATCCTCTGCACGTCAGCACCATCAGGAAGATCACTGTACGAACAGTAATCCTTAGCAAGCCACAGCTGATCTGGGCACCACAAGCGAGATCAGTTTAGGATATAAATTCCCCACCTGCCAGGTGAGGGTTGCTAGATTTTAACAGAGCTCTGCTCCTCCTCCTCCGCCTCCTCCGCCTCCTCACCCGAATAGAATGCCAGATAGAATGCCAGAAAGAATGTCAGAAGATATGCCAGAAAGAATGTCAGAAGATATGTCAGATAGAATGTCAGAAGATATGCCAGATAAAATGCCAGAAGATATGCCAGAAGATATGCCAGATAGAATGCCAGAAGGTATGCCAGATAGAATGTCAGATAGAATGCCAATAGGTATGCCAGATAAAGTGCCAGAATGTTTGCCAGATAGAATGCCAGAAGATTTGCCAGATAGAATGCCAGATAGAATGTCAGAAGATATGCCAGAAGATATGCCAGATAGAGTACCAGAAGATATGCCAGAACAGATTGCAGAAGATATGCCAGCTAGAATGCCAGAAGATATACCAGATAGAATGCCAGAAGATATGCCAGATAGAATGCCAGAAAGAATGTCAGAAAGAATGTCAGAAGATATGCCAGACAGAATGTCAGAAGATATGCCAGAAAGAATGTCAGAAGATATGTCAGATAGAATGTCAGAAGATATGCCAGATAAAATGCCAGAAGATATGCCAGATAGAATGCCAGAAGGTATGCCAGATAGAATGTCAGATAGAATGCCAGTAGGTATGCCAGATAAAGTGCCAGACTAGAATGTTTGTCAGATAAAATGCCAGAAGATTTGCCAGATAGAATACCAGATAGAATATATGTCAGAAGATACGTCAGAAGATATGCCAGATAGAGTGCCAGAAGATATGCCACAACAGATTGCAGAAGATATGCCAGCTAGAATGCCAGAAGATATGCCAGATAGAATGCCAGAAGATATGCAAGATAAAATGCCTGAAGGTATGTCAGATAGAATGCCAGAAGGTTTGCCAGTAACAAAGTGTATAAATGTTATGGTGGGGATAACTCGAAGTAAAGTAATTTGAAGTAATTTGAAATATTTTATATTATTTATAAATAAATAAATTAAATTTAAAACTGGGGCAATACGTAACCACCATATTATAAAATAATACTATTACACTCCACAAATCCCCAAAATACAGATCGATTGATTGCTTTGACTGGCTACTGCGCTGCTGAACTTATGATGGATGATATTGGACTGCTGGTGCGTCCTGGTGGAAACATTGCAGAGCTTTCCCCAGTTGACGACGCAGTTTCCTGCGACACTGGCGGACAAGACGTTTGTCATGCCGGACGATGTGCACCGTTCCCACGCGGACAGTGCCTTCTCTGAGAAACTCCAACTGGCCATGTGTGAAGAAAAGGGTGAGCAAGGACCGAGTATGTGGAGATGGCGACCAACACCGTGTGTGAAGAAAGGGTGGGCAAGGACCGAGTATGTGGAGATGGCGACCAACACCGTACCAGTGAGACCACATGACATGAACTATAATGTATATCGATCGATAATAATTGTAATATTGGAGTATCGGGGTGATATAATAGCCACAACATTTTTTAAATTACAACCCCAAATATGTGACAAAAAATACAAATTTAATTGAGAAAAGCTTCGTATTGGCACGGGCAATGTAATCAAACTTGGTTTCATTTCCATATGGCTGGGTGGGCTTGCGGCCATGGGTTCCGGAATTCACCCATACAAATGTAGGGCATGGCAACCCCACAACGGCTAAGGAGTCAGGCTCCATCCGTAGGCCCATGCTGAGCAGATTCAAGTAGCCCTGCCTCAACAACACTAGCACATATATAAAATCGACTAACTCGGTTTGAAATCGATATTTAATTAATATATGAACATGCTACCCTGACTGCATGTAAGCTCATATACATGATACTGATCGAATATCTGGATATTTATAAATTGAAACTAAGTGGTTTGAGGCCCCCACGTTAGCAGAATGTCGTTCTGCTCTCCACGTTCCAAGACATCGTAGTGCTCCCTAGGCCCAAGCTGAGGGGATCGAAAAGTAAATGGTATTCGAATGTTTTTGGGGTTATAATAGTATGGAGATCAAGATAGTACACGGGGATCATTAAATAATCAGATATATGATGTTGATTCTCACAAGCGTGGCCGTGTTGCTGTGGAGGATCCAGGGTATGCAGCAAGCTGGGGGGCGAACGTCTTCTGGTTGTGACGGCCTCAATGCACTGATCATGTGCCAATGAATTGTGCGGCCGTATTTATGATAATTCATGATGCCACTGAAATCCCCCGAGTTCCCCACGCCATGTGGTCGAGATAGCTTTTTCACCGCAAAAGACATCCAAACATTGCACATCCTGAGCAAGCACAAGATGGGCAAATTGATTTGTTTAAGGCTGGAAAATCTAGGATACTGACTCTTTGTCGCTGCCCTTCTGGCAAAGTTTGGGCCAAGTAGTCCAACGCATGCAACCTCACAATTTCATAACTCATATGGCATCATAATATACCATGATATATGCTTTATCCAAATATTGGCACTGTGCTTAATCGATAGAATGAGATCCCCACACTTCTCTTGGACATCCCCATGTCTGCAGCAGCTCCGACTCCTTCCGTGTCAAGGCCACGCCTCTCTTGGTCCAACCAGGAGGCAACGGCTTCGAACAGGACATCCTGCTAAGCCGGTGGTGGGATGGATCTAAACCAGGTTGGATTGAGCCAGAATCAGCTCAAGTAGTGGGCATTTTTTCCAGCACAATTGAGTGTTCATGCAAAAACTCATATGGAAAACTTGATTGAAACTTAACATCGATTGATCCATCCATGATTTATCATGATGTGATGCAGCTTTTGATGTTCTTTCGATGTCTCTTGATTGATCCTGCTGCGTGCATGTATGGCCACCAGGTGTAGCCGGCACGCTCTTGCCCCAAAACATCGGTATATTGTAGCGCACATGCGTAGCATGTGAATGCAGTAAAATAATAATTTTATTTAATATATATGATAATTATATCAAATAGGTATCATCAGCACCAGTGCGCTATCTCAGCTTCGAATCTTATGTTCGGGTTCCCATCCAGCCAACTGCCGAGCATGTTGCCAGCTCTTGCCGACACCATACTTGCCCCAACTCAGAGTGACACCGCCCTTTCGATCTGCCTGTGTGGCCGAGAGAATGTTGACAATTGAGAGATCTTAAGATTGTAGGAAATAAAACTGTACTAGAAAACAATAATAATATAAACTTGTCGATTGGTTGTGCACATCTTAGATCTATAGATCGATGTTCTACCTCGATCTAGTGCTATGTTGATTCCCCATCCCCACCTTGAAGTTCTGTCCTGTTGCCTTGTTGATGGCCAACACCTGCTTTTCACCACAGCCATAGACATAGAATTGGCCTCGCAGGATCACTCCTATGCTGCAAGTTGTGTCATCCTCCGCCAGCTGCTTGAGGGTGGCATCAGGGGCTTTGACCGTCCAAGTCCTGAACAAACATGGTTTATTTATTGATGGTTTTGATCAAGACATGATCGATCATTATGCAGTACAAGTTGTACAAGTTGTAAGGAATTTACCCTTTTGGTTGAGACCCTGGCGATCGGTCAGCAATGTCATCGGGGACTGCAAGTTCTGGGAACTTCTGGGCTGCTGCATGGATGAGCATGATCTGGTCTTCTTTCTGTTCCTGCATGATGAATTCATGAAAGCAATCCCAATAGTTTTTGTTCGCTTACGGACTGCAAGAATTGAAACATTTAAAAGAGACGAGATCGATGTAGTTTATATTTGAACAAATGTCCTTGGAAAGCAGCTGCTTGCTTTCAGCCTGACAAATCGAACCAACAACATCAACAGTTCGTTCATTCAAAGTTTAAAAGAGGCCCAACCCAGAGTTTCCCACTTGAGGTCCCAGACGGAGGCAGGTTTGGACCCATTGTCATCTGAATCACGAGCTTCCTAAGGCATGGTGAGGTAATAGTGAATCCTATCGGATCGATGAGTGTTAATAGAAGAACGAACTAAATTATTGATTGAGCATGAGGATACCACCGCATCAGCAGGTTTCTTCCTTTGTCTGGCCGGTCGGGCCTAGGAATCACCATGAGATCAATTGCTAAACCAACTTTTATACTACATGTTGAATCGAATATACAATATATCATAAATAAATTAAATATAATATAATCTTTATACCGGTTAACGGTTTGTTTTTCAAAAGAAATTTGGGCTATAAAAGATACGAAACCAAATTCAGAAAACCACTCCACCACTTGCCAAGGTGGAGACCTTTGGTTCCGGTTCCACTGCTTCGCCATCAGCCTGGGGCTCCTGGCAAACCATCACGGGTACAAGTCGGTTTGACAGGTTCCAAAGATCAAAAATGGAATGATCTTATCCAAAGATCAAAAATGGAATGATCTTATAATTATAAACGGAATAATGTATAGAATCAATGCCTGTGACATTAATTGAAAAACATGGATCATAATGCTTAAGAGCACCTTGCCAGTTTTTGTGGTGTATATAGTCGGTCCACCAGAAAAAGAGCAAAAATGTTCTCCTTGTTCTGGCCACGACGCTTTTTTGCCTAGCTGTGAAAACTAATGCAGCAAGCAGGCTTTGATGCAAAATAAAAAGCATGTATGAAGCATGCACATATGCCCACATACATGTCATGTCCCTCAAAGTGCATAAACTGGGTGTGAGTAATCTATCTATCTATATTAAGCACACTGATATATATAAGCTAGCTAAAAATCTAAACAATGGAATATGGCCTCTTTGGTCGGTTTCTTGTCTTCCGTCTTCTCCTGAAGCGGGCTGGTTTTATAGTTTGGAGGTATGCGCTGTGGCCTTAAACTCTCCAGGCCTGATCAGGGGCTTTCTTTTTTCGTTTCTTGTCCTGCCGTACACAGCCCGGTTATACAGGCAGAGTGGTAGATCCAATTTACTACTCACTGTGCTGGCTCTGTTTTAGACAGTACATGCTCAGTCATCCCCAATCCAACCAATGTAGCCGATCTATCCTCAGCAGCGTCCGGGGCATCTTCCCTTCCATTCTTGCTGGTGCCAGTCTCCTGGCATATAATATAATATATTAGAGGGTACCCGGGTGCTAATAATGGAGCAGTTCGAGTACTGTGTTTTGTCCTGTGCTTCTTTGTTTGTGGACTTCGGCTTCGCCGCAGTTTTTGCCTGCTGCAGACTTCGACTTGTCATTAAAAGATCGATCATCTTGTCGAAGTGAAAACGGGAAAAGGTGTTGTCCAAATAAATGATGCCCGCCTTAGCCTTCGGCCTTCTTCCAGGTTTCTTGCTTGCAACATCTGAATAGACTTCCTGCCATGCGCAGAGACTCTCAATGTAAGTCATATTAATTAGATGTTTTTGAAGCTTCTATGATCTAGGTTTTAAATAAGTGTTTCTACATCGATTTGGAATTTATAGATGCCACCCTGGGGCCACCTTCCCAAATCACCTTTTACCCTTCCTAGCCTCAACTTCACTGCCGCTTTCAGCATCATGCCCTCGTTTGGATCGAAGTTTTTGGAGATGCACTTCAGGCAAATGCTGCATTGCTTCGTCCTGCTCTTTTCCAGGAACTCCTTCCTCCGTGGGTTCCACATGAGAGGCCTTTCTCCCACGACCCCGTCCTTTGCCTCGGCCCCTTCCCTTCCCTTGGACCCGTCTTTCGGTTGCTTCACGCTTGTCCTTCAACTCTTTGTCAGCTGCCCTTCGCTCCGCATTGATGTCTTTTCGGGTTTCGCGCTGCAACTGCGAAGCAGTGGCAGGGATAGGGTAGGGGGAAATATGAAAGTTCGATTTATAAATCTATAAATATATATTCGAATGTTGGTTGGCTCGGGCTCACTAAGAAATCATGAATAATGGATCGATGCAGCGAACATCAGACCAGGCCTGAAGAAGTAGGTTTGAAACAGCCTTGAACTGTGTTTGATCTACCCCGGCTAAATCAGGAAAGTCTTTGAGATGCTGCTCTGTCAGCTCCGGTAGGTCCTCCAGCTCAAAAAGCGGTTTCCGGTCCTGCGGGGCCAAGAGCAAAAATGTGGAAAATGGCAAAAAAAACTTGAATAATACAATTTATATAAATTGATGATAGGATATAATATATGCAGTACGTAATATAAGAAGTGAAGCTCTTCGAAGATGAATTCTATATCAATTATTGGACTCCCTACTTTATAAAAATCAAGCTGTCTTCTGCTTAATCCATTTGGCAAGGAAAAAATGAACCCTGCCTTGAAAGCCTGACGCCTTGCTAGATCTTCTTCATCAGACTTCAAATCTACCCTTTCCTCATCCTTTTCCAACGCCTCCAAATGCTCTTTTGAAGGTGTTGTTGGCTGGGAAGGTTCGGCGCCGTCCGAGGTTGGCTCAGCAGGCATGCTAGCAGGCTCATTTTTCTTTGTATCATCGGCCACCCCATCTCCCTCGTTCCACTCGGGTGGAGTCTGATCTTCTTGAAAGTACGATTCTACTTCTTGGCTTTCCTCTACGAAAACAGCTTTGTCGGGTGTGCATGGAACTTGGGATTCCTGGACCACAGGTGGAGTGTGGCTAGGTTGGCTGTCTTGGTCTATGACTGTTTTTGGCACTGGCGGCCCTCTGCACTCAACCTCTGGCTCAGCGGGGCGGGCAGAGGTGTCAAGGGCTTCAGGCTCAACAGAATTCTCAGAATCCTTCTGTTCAGCTTCTTGCTCAAGCTCTTCTTTGCTACAGGAAAACCCCTCTAATGGGTGACTGCTTGGCTCTGGAGTGTCAGCATCCTGTTCTTCGTTCTGAGTCTTCTTGCCTGACGACCACTCTAAAATAACGTACATGATTTCGATGACATATAATATTGGGAATTATACTTGAAATCCAACATATAAAGGCCCTATCCTCCGAACCCCCCACCTCTCTTCCAAAGGTGCCCACGCATTGTCCTGACCACGTACTTCAAGTCCTCCAGTTTTTTGTGCCCAGCCCTGGCACACTGCGCAAAAATATGCAAAACTAAAAAAATCGATGTTGTTGGCAAAATTGTTGGGTATGCGGGCGCTTAATATACTTTTTAAAAATATGCTACATTTCAACATGCATTTTTTTTGAGATCGATCATATAATCATTATACCCCGGCCAGATCAATCATAAGGGATAGGCCTGGCTCGTTCATTCCTCCGAGCAAGGAAGATGATGGCCGAACATAGGTTCTTCTGGTTGGCAGCTTCGAGATTCGCCCAATCCTGCATGTGCAGACACCTGCTTGGCAAAACCCACACCCAAATTATCGCCTATTACAAAATTGGGTTTGTACCAATTGGTTTATATACATATATAAGAGCAGGGTTGCCCAATTATTCCATTTCATCCAATCAAGGCATGTCAATACAGACCCCTTTGGACCCAACTCCTCGACGTCCATCTTCAGCTTCGCGCGGCACAAAGGCGATTCTGTGTGGAACTTCATGAACAGGGCCTGCAGCAAGATGAGGGAGGGCATGACACTGCAGTCAGATGAGGGCCCCACAAATTTCACTTTGGAACCCAGCCTTTAGTTCTGAGTTCCATGGCAAATCACCAGCAAAGACCGAGAGCCATTCTATGTAAAACTCGTAGTTGTGCTCATCCTCCACCTACCCGGAGCTTGAACAGTTAAAATTGGATCATGATATATATATTTGAACATGATTAAGATGATACTTGTAGAATAAAAAACACATCAGCATATATTATATGGACTTAAACGTCAAACAGGCAAGCCCCACAACGTCAAGAGAAAAAGCTTTCTCCACAGTCTCCAGTTCAGAGTTGACATTGATGAAGCTGAAGTTGCATGGCGCCTGGCAATTGCGATTCTTAGCATATGATGGACTATAGCCGGACTATGTCAATCGCAGTTTAAAAAAATGGGGCGCCTGCTGGGCCTTCAAACGCTTCTGGACTTTCTCCTTCGGGATATTCTTCATTTTGGCTAGATCATACCAGCGCTTTTCCATCCAGTTCTGGTCGTTCAACTTATCCCTGTAAAAGTCCTACCCGGGGATGCATATGTATGGCAGGTACATATTCCATTGTTTACTGTATATGTAGATTTCAACCAAAGGATGATGACTCTATTGCATTTGCTATTTTTTTGGGGTTAAATTCTGCCCATCACAATTGGGTTGGCCTCCCCTGAACAAGTATGTATGGGTCCTCCAGCAAGGCCATCATATTAGGCCGGGGCTGGTTGGGCATTGTGCCAAGACTAAGTGCCAAGCAGTTCAACCCCAAACCGCCTAGCAACCCAGCTACAAAACATCCTGGGCCAATCAGCGGCGATCTCAAAAGATAAAAGATAGGATGATGAGAAAAGTGTGAAAGGTGGCTGTATCAATCGCAAGCAAGGAGGGCTAGGGCGAACCTGTTGCCCCGGCATTGACGCCTAAGTTGTCAGGAAATCCGGGATGGATCATGTTAGGCCTACTTTTATAATCTTGACACCCCCAATCAAGATTCAAGATGCTGAGTCAAGGGCGTTTGGAAGCCAAAAGAACTCTGGAACTCCGATAGCGGTTTTGCACCATGGCTTCAAAGATGGGGAAATCATTCAGAAAGTATCTCATATAGATCACCGGGTCAAACCTGCCCTTGCAATTTTGAAGAAATACCGGTATAAACACATGACAGATCATTACTTTTTAAGAACATCCAAGTAAAACACATAGCAGATCATTTTGTTCATGGATCCACTGCTCCAACTCAAGATCCTGGGCCGCAAACCTGAAAAGGCAACAGGCGAGATGAGACGCACCTCCTAAAATCCATGCTCCAAACTTCTGGGGGCCTGGAGATACTTGAGTAGGCTTTTGGCAACAGCCTTTCAAAGTGGGGCCTGGGAAGCCCCAGGTATAATTATACTCCCTGGTTTTATGGGGATCACGATGACATATGATAACCCATAGTAGGGAAACCTATCAACCAACTAGCAGAATGAGATGGGATAGGGCTATTTTTAATGGCTCACCTTGGATCGCTGGTTGACATGGTGCCGTCTGAGGCGCATCCGTCGCAAGCCTCCAATCGTGTGGTGCCGCCGTGAATCCGCTCAGTGACATCTCTGGTGAACCCCCGCATGATCTGCCCATGACTCCCCGTCCTGGTGAAAACGGGTGAAGTTCCCATTTTTGATGAACTCCGCATGACTTGTTGGTTGCCCCGGATGCAGTACGCCGTTGAGGCACATGCGCGTTGCACCCCCGAGCCACTCGCAGAATGGCCCAATGCCATCGCAGCCACAGCAGCCCATGCAGCCACAGCAGCCCATGCAGCCGCAGCAGCCCATGCAGCCGCAGCAACCAATGCAGCAGCCTGCAGGGCAGGCCTGACCAGTGCTGGATTTCGGGAAAGTGACCCCCGCTGGAACTCTGGAACTAGGCTTGAATTCGATTTCGCGACTTGAGGGTTGACTTCAGCTTCACCACTTGACATTCTTTACTTAAAATAAAACTTAAACAAAACACACTTGGGCGCCATTGGGCGCCCCGTGGAGCCATTTGAAGATGCTGTTGCCAGATCCCCAACACCAGTGCCTTTGTGGGTGCTGGTGCCGCGGTCGGGGACCCAAATCGATCTAAGACTTCTCTCGAAGTGGTCCATGAGGTCCAAGACTTGGGAATTCCACCCTTCAACTTGGGAAATTTGCAAAAAAAATCGGATTCAACCAGCATTTTTCTGATGGTTTGTGATTGGTATGTCAGCTATTGATATTCATTGATATCACCCATGAAACAGGTTGGTGCTTTCATTTGTTCCGCACCATCGGATGCTGATTTCAAGTGACTTCGAATAGAACTTTGGGTCCCAAGATATCCCAAGATTGTGAGACCTTTGGGGCAGACCATGAAAAATGGCATGGTCAATGAGTAATACACAGTATTGTCACAGTACCAACAAAAAGTGCCTATAGAATGCCCCCAAAAATAACCACAGAGGTTCAATTTGGATCAACAAATTGAAGCATTTGAGCTACGCAGCTACACCCAGGCGATGGCCCAAATGGGGGTCAATGAGGCCTGGGGGTTGCCCCACTTTTTGCTCAGGACGTGGCAAAATTCATGGGCATGCCGTGCCACGTTTTTTTTGTTATCATTTCTAGGTCTATATATATATATATATACACTACACATTCATATCTAAGTCAATGTTCAACCAAGTAGACCAGAGAGTATTTTGTGGGGGGGTTCGAAAGTGACAGAATATCCAGATAGATTGTGATAATTATTGGGATTCAAGATCCCTTTGAAGCTCAGCAGGCAGGTTCCTGGCTTCTTGTCTTGGCAGGTGGTTGCCGGAGCTGCGATGAGCCAGGTCCTTTCACCAGTGGATTTTGGTGGATTTTCTCTGGGCCAATTTGCCAATGCAAAATCTTAAGACAGGGGCTTGAAATCCATTGAATCATGGAAAGGTGAAGCCTGGAGGCTTCAATCATCTTCAATCATCTTCAATCTACCTCTGGGCCGCGCAGGGGATGAACTACTTGCAAGATCAGATGGCGAACAGTGGAGCCTAGAGCCCCAGGGATCGCATGGAGGCAGTGATAGTGGAATCATTGTAGCACCAGAAATCGTGGTTTGACTTGTTTTGTGTTTGTCATTGATGGTCAGTTGGCCAAATTTCCAATTTTCTTTGCCACAAGAGGCTGGTTTTTGTAGGGTTCCCAGGTTGGTTTTTGCATCGGTTGATTCTGAGGCCATGCGGTGGTTTCCCTTCCTCTTCTTGAGCCTCCAGCAGCTCTTCAACGTAGGCTGCGGTGGTGGGACCTGGCTCAGTGGCTGGAGAGGTAGTTGGGGGATGGCCAAGAGTGTTGGAACCTCGAAGATTCCGAACAGATGAGTTGGAGGAAATGATTCAGATTTGGGTTTTTTTCATCGTCACTTTGAGCTGATTTCAAAGGAAAGACTCGAGGTCAACGAACAGTTTTGAGGCCCCCGTAAGTCTCGGTGCCCTTTTTTTGAAGGCCTGCGGGGGAGATTTTGTAAAGCCAGCTTTTGGGGCAGCATTCATTGCAGCATTGCTCAACGGCTTCGAAGAATGCCGAAGCTTCAGGGATTTCATCAGCACATGTCAGACATCGCACATTTGGCCAGAAGCAGTGAACCAGTTGAACCAGTTGAACCAGTTGGGACATGGGCCTTGAACCAGTTGACCTCCAACCCCCGATTTTCCTTGGCATGAGGGGATGTGTCACTTCAGATGGTTGATGAATGCTGATCGGTATGTTTTTTTTTTTCAGCTGTTGGTTGGTTTTTTGGAATTTGATTACCTGGATTGAATCTGGATAGATTCGGATTCCGATTTTCAATTGGGTTTGATTCTGACTCTGATTTTGATCTGTTTATGACTTATGACCTTGATTCTGATCTTTGAGCTGGCATTGACTTGCTGTTGCTTTGACTTGCTTCCAGATTCATTGCATTGATGGATTGTAGAAAATCGTGGATTCATTGGACCCAATCCATCGATTGATCGCATCCAATTCCCCACGAAAATCACACCATGGCGCCGGCAGCGACTGCGATGAAGATTGCGGTGCACCAAATCAGTGGCAAGGTGACGCTGCTGGAAGTGATGCCCGAGAGCACGCTGCGCGCCACTGGGATGCACTTTTCGTAACAAGCTGCGGCCGTCATGTTTTGAGATCAACATGAAGTCAAAAGAAAATCAACACCCAAATTTGATGGCCAGATTTTGGTACCTCCTCATTTTCAGATATTTTCAGTATTCATTGGGTCTGGAGTGGTGAAAAGGTCACCGTTTCTGATGTTTTCGGATGGTCAAATTCCCAATCATTCATGGTGAAATCATCAATTCTAGCTGGCTAAAACCGAATTCCCCAGAGTTTTGATGGTAAGACCATGTAAAACCCAAGATTTCACGGTTTCCGCATAGATCCCCATAGATCCCCTATAAATCCCATATAAAAATCCCATATAAATCCCCAACTGAACGCCCACCTTTGATCCTTGGATCCAGCTGCTCAGGAGCTGAAGCTACGCCTAAGGGCCTGGCAGGTCTGTGAGGACGACCTCACACGGCGCATGAGCGAAGTGGAGCTGGTCCTCGGGGATCGAAAGCTGACGAACAACGCCCTGACGCTGCGGGAGGCGGAGATTTTTCAGGGAGAAATCGTTTTTTTTTTTTTTTCCGGAGGAAAAACATGGGGAGATATAGATGACATATACACGCACAGACAGGTATATGATGTATTTAATATAGTAATATAACTATTATATATATATATATATATTATATACACATACATATACATATACATATACATATATATATATATATACTTGTACAGGTACTCCCAACAAGGAATGATGGGTGTTTTTTTTTCAAATGAGAGCTTTGGGGGGTTTCCATTGATGTTCAATGAGCATGAGCCGGGAGGCAGGGCTTTCGCCCGACGTCACGCTGCAGGCATGAAGGGAATCCGTGGGAATCCCCAGAAAAATGTATTGAACTTAGTTTTGAGATGAGAGATATTGAGAAATTATGAGAGCTCATTAGCCGTTGAAATCAGGAGGTCACTGCAAGAGGTCGCTTGTATCGCTTGTATCGGCGGATTCCCCCATGGGCAGGTCTTGTACAGCATCAAACCGGTGGCTTGTTCGAGTCTGGCGACGTCCGGCTGTTCGGTGGATTCGTTGCTGGTGGTGAACATCCCAGAAACGGTGCAACGCATTGAGAACGAAGCCTTTACTTCGTGCCATTTTTTGGTGCCTCTGCGAGAGTTCGTTTTCATTGCCTTTTTTGGGTTTGATTCTGGCCTTGTCTTAAAGAACTTAACCTCTGGTAAATTAACATAACTATGGAAAATCATCATTTTTTAATAGGTCAAGCAACTATGAATGAGAATTTTCAGTAGCTTTTTGTATGTTTACCAGAGGCTATAGGACTTCCAGATTCCTCGCGGTCCTCACATCACCTCACGGCCAAGGCCAAAGTGACGATCCCAAACTCCGTGACGTGCATTGGGCCCAGTGCCTTCAAGGGGTGCAGCTCCTTGGGCAGCGTCGCCCGGCTGCAGGGAGCTGATTACAAGAGCCATGCCAATTTGGATTGTTGGGATTTATCTACACACACATACATACATATATATATATATATACATTATATGTATGACTTGAATCTCTCTCGACTTAATTACGGAATGTCAACGTCTTCCAACAGCAAGAAGTACCGATGCAGGCACAATGTTGATGTGTGTGCATGGATGTACCCGGATAAATCGGTCAAGTGCAAACTAGCTGCTTTACCTTGACAAGAAATGATATTATCTAAGCATACTTAAGCCATCTTATATATATATATAGTATTTATATATATACATACATACCTACCTACCTACCTACCTACCCACCCACCTACCTACCTACCTACCTACAAACCTACATACCTACCTACATACATACCTACCTACCTACCTACATACATACATACATACCTACCTACATACCTACCTACCTACCTACATACATACATATGTATGTATACTATATATCTATTCTATATTTCTGTCTCTTCCATCCATCAAGTCCCCAGGTGAACATCCCCAACTCCGTTCTGGTCATCGGTGGCTGGGCCTTTGCCGGCTGTTCCTCGTTGCTGCGAATGACGCTGCCGTCCTCGGTCACGCGCCTCTTGGCGCGAGCCTTTGACAGCTGCATCTCGTTGACTTCCATCAACATCCCGGAGTCGGTGAGCTTCATTGGTGCAGGAGCCCAGTTGTTGTTGTGTTGCATAGGATTTATATCCAATGATAGCAAAGGTGCCGATGTTACACATGTTACATATGATATATAGATATATATATATATATATATATCATATCATGTATATATATATATGACATATGATATATATATATATGACATATATATATATGACATATATATATACGATATATATATATATATGATATGTGATATATATATATAGGGAGGATATTTTAAGAGATGGGTAAACGATGGATGAAGATGGTGAATTACTAAGGGCTGGAATCATGGACCATCCTCCCAAGCTGTTGTTAGTATGGAAACCTTTGCAAACATATGAGTATGAAGAACGTTTGAAACTTGGGAACCAATGGACTTTAGCATTCACTTGGGTTTGTGAAGTGGATCTCATTCACGCATTCACGCATTCATGCATGCATTCAGTCACTCACTCACTCACTCACTCATTTATTCAGTCGAAGTTGCCGTGATGAATTCAACGAAACACCTGCGGCAATGAAAAACCTTCCTTTAAGCCCTTCATTTCCCTAGTCCGTGACGACTATTGAAACTTGCGCCCCCCGGGTATATCATTGAGAAATGATGGCTGGTTGGGGATTTCTATGGGTAATTTTACGAGCCATCATTGAATCATGATGGGGATTATTGTCAAAATCCACTTGGGAAAACCCACCAACCATTGCAATGGATTTTCCACAACAAATTTGACTCCGTTGGGTTGAACTTCTACGGGTGGAACCTGAAAAAGTAAGTGTGCCCCAACTGCTGATGATTGATGGGCAAATTATGACTACAGGGAGTCCACGAGCTTGAGATAGGGTCGAGGGAGGCCTGGTGAAGCTTTTGAGAAAAACAGCGGGGAGGGAGAAGGAGGCGGGGGAGGCAGAGGAACCAACGCATGCCCTCAGCATCCCTCAGGGATGGGGAACACCTTCAAGCATTTGAACGCCTCATTCGCCATCCCCATTCCCATTCCCATCCCAACCCCCAACCCCCAACCTCCAACCTCCAACCCCATTCCCCAACCGCCATCCCCAACCCCATCCCCATCCCAACACCAACCCCCAACCTCCAACCCCATTCCCATCCAGCCAGGAGCTTTTGCCAGTTGCAAATCTTTGCTGAGCATCGACCTCCCGGACTCGCTGCTGCGCATCGACCGGGACGCCTTCCGGGGATGTGACTCCCTGGCGCCGAGCTGAGCGGAGGGTTGGGAGAGCCCAGGTCTTCCAAAGGGAGGATTGGAATAGAATAGATTAGAATAATGAATTTTAGAAGTACATCATGAACCAAGACAAACTAGGTTCACGGCTCATATTTCGCCGTGAGGGAAAATGGCCATTTGATGAGTTCCATGCGATGCTGAAATCATGGAAATTCCATTGTGATTTTTATTTCGCTTGCGGTGACTCTTGGCAAAAACTCTTTTTTTTCTCTTCTGCAAAATGCGAGTAGACTACTGTGCTGTTCACCAAATTTTGGTGAGCTGCCGCAAAAAGATCTTTGCGGACAACTGGCCCAAGTTCTTACGCCAAGCCCATGCGTAGACTTGGTGTTCGAAAAAGGGACACTAAAGAAAAAGTGCATCTATTTTTTGGATTTTCGACATATGAGCAATCTTGAAAACCCTCAGTTCACGGAAAGAACATCCACGGATATCTGGTAAACTTAGGGGGCACCGCTTGCACGAAACTGTTTGTTTTTTTGTATATAATTCACAGAAATCAACGTCCAATTTGGGTGTCGCTAATGTGGATATTAGAGAAATGCAATGACATAACCTTGAAAAGGAGCATTGCTAATTTGGGAAGGTCCCATCGCTTACCGTGGGGTTTTATTAATTTCCATCAATTTCCCTAAACCAATGTCCGTCCAATACATATTTAGTATTGCCGGGGTTTTTGCGGTGGCTCATATCATATCACCCACTGGTTTACATCAACGTAGCATCAACAACGTCTTCCAAGTTACCTCGACATGTCTTGTCGACGTAGTATCAAGGACGTGGTCGTCAGGACGTTAATACACCCCCCCACCCCACCCCACCACCCCAGCGTAAACCCTCCATTGGTCAAAAAATGCATATTTTACCACGGCGAATTATGCACCGTGGTCCAACTAGAAGGTAGTTGGAACTCAAAATAGTTCCTTATTTTATGTAAAATTCACAGAATCACGCTTCAATGTGTATGGTGGCTTATGGAAAGCCTCCAGAAGGACAGGAACCACAACACCGGACTGCAATACTTGATCTGAGGCAACAGTGAAGATCCCCAAGTTGATCACTTCCGTTGCCTCAGCCACCTTCAAAAATTGCAGATCTCTGGTGAATGTCAGCATTCCTGACTCTGCGACTTGCCTGAGATCTCATTTGTTGTTGTTTTTGCAGCTCCTGACGTCAGGATGTATCATCCATGGTTCTTGGTGATTGGTTCTTGAGATGCTCATCTCACCCCAAAGGGAACAAAATGGAACAAATTATTTCAGTACTACAAGAAATCATTGTCAAGACCATGGTTCTCAACCACCCCAGCCACACCAAAATCCATATTTCGGGGATATTAGCCGACCTCATTTTTGATAATATAATGATACATGATACACCATAATACAACTAGTAGATAGTAGGTTTCATTATTAATGATAATACACCATGATACACCCACAATAATTAGTTTCATACCAGATCATCCTGAGGTGACCTTAATCGATATCGGAGCCTTCGAGAGCTGCCCGGTGCTGCGATCCGTGACCCTTCCCGCGTCGCTGACGATGCTGGCGATGGAAGCCTTTGAAGGTTGCGCCTCGCTGCACCGTGTGGAGATTCCCAACTTGGTGACGTCCATTGGGCCGCGAGCGTTCAAAGGTAAGCGGTTGAACGGGAATGGCTTGCCATGGGTTGCCTTTAAAAACTGTTGGAGTGTGGAACGATGTGGAACGGTTTCTCATGAAGATATGGAACATATAAAATCGTACCATATAGGACTTGTGATGGGTTGCTTTGTTTATTGTCATCCATCAAAATGCGGCTGGGTCACTGGGTCTAAGGGATTCCAAATGGTGGAAGTTTTGGTGAAGTTTCAGTATCTTTCCACCAATTTCCATCATGGCCTGGGGAAGGACACGTTAACTGCCGCATGTGACACCTGTGATGAAAGTGTTATAAACTCCGCTCACACGCTACATTCCTCATCAACTCACCACCTAACTCGGCCAGGGCACGCAGATTTCCATGTTGGGATGTATCAGCTTGTCAAAACTCTCAGGTAGAAGGGTAGAATACTGTAGTTGACACCTGCAAGTAATTCTCCCTAGCGGTATGGTTGAAAACTATAATGTCCTTGACTTTTTCAACATTTTTCTGTGATTCTGGCCTTTCTGCTCCCCCAAAAATGGTGCACTCAGTTTTTTTTTGTGCTGCATGTGGTAGCGGCGAGCGGAAAGCTACTGCTCCATTTTGAGTTTCATCCCTTCACTCACCTATTCACTGAATGATCCATCCACATTCGTTCGCTCGTGAATTCATGTTAATTCCAGCATTCGTTCATACCTCATCGTTTCACTTGGTGGTTCTTTCCTACCTACCTTCCGTCCTTCGCTCGGTATATTGTTGGTTCCTTTTTCAACAGATCAGTATTTTATCCGTTCATCGGTTGATTCAATTGATTCATTCATCAACTCAGAGAGCTGCTCTTGCTACACGTCCCTTGTTTGCTTGGCTCGTCTGCGTGCCACTGGGAAATGGATGTTTCAACGAGTGTTCTTGGTTGGGACTCTCAGTCTTGTACTTATCAAGTATCCACAAAGTATCCACAAAGTATCCACAAAGTATCCACAAAGTATCCACGAAGTATCCACAAAGTATCCACGAAGTATCCACAAAGTATCCACAAAGTATCCATCAAGTATCCATCAAGTCGCAAATTTTTATCAATTTCTGGTTCCCATTTTTCTTGCAAACCACATGTGAAAGCTGACTTCCTCCGGAGGCTGCACTTCTCTCCACAGTGTGGAGATCCCCATCTCGGTGACCAGCATCGGTGGTTGGGCCTTCCAAGACTGACACTGAGCTGCATCCATCACCACCATCACCATGGAGGGTTAAGTCAGGGATCTGCAGGATCCCCAGAGGATCCCCAGTCGGACTGCCAGGCAGGTTGTTTCAATATGTTTCAATACTAAGATTACTAAGTCATCCTCTGACTGGGATGATTTGGGGGTACATGACTTAGGAAACCACCATGAAATGGATCATTTGGTGATGGCAGATGTATGCAGATGTCATGAAAAATTCAAAATCAGATCACTGGATCATTCAACGCATGCTCTTCCCATGTTGTTTTCAAACCAGGGTGGTTTTTGGGAAATCCACCTTCATCCACCTTCAGCCACCGAGGTGGCCTGTTCCGGATGGCGATCCCCAGCTCCGTGACCTTTATCGGCACCGAAGCTTTCAGAGACTGCGAAGCTCTGCGGGAGGTGACGCTGCCCAGCGCCCTGGAAGGGGTGGCTCAGGAGACCGGGAGAGACCGCCGGGCCATGGGGACTGGACTGCAGTGACTGGGAAAGCGGCTTGAACCTTTGGATACCTTAAGGGATATCTTGAGATATCTTGAGATGAAGAATACTTGAAGATGAATTCAACTTCTAGACTCATAGTATAGTTCGAATCTGGCTGCTGGGGTCACCATGTCATAAATGCATATAAATGCTACTACATGGTAGATAACGGTAGCATGTGGTACCTTTTTGTGGTGAAGATCCTCGCCAGGAGAACGAGATCTTCAAAGGTTGCCGTGCGGAGCAAGTGAAGCTCGATGGCTAGATGGTGGCCACTTGAGGCCTCCGAGATGGATGGATTCCAAATGATTCCAAGATGGATTGTCGTTTTGTCGGTGAAACCCATGTTTTCCCGATTTTGTACGTCAACTTTGGCGTAGAGGTGTTCTTGAGGTGTTTGATATGATGTGTTTATCTTGCGACAACCTGCATTCCCCGTAGCTCTTGTGGAATCCTCCCGAAAGGAAGGCAAAGCATCTGACCTTTCGCAAGGAAAATCGCCCGCGCGCCTGGGGGACTGGATTTTCTTCTCAATCAATGGAGTAACTGAGGAAATTCAAATCCAACTTATTTTGGACGATGGGAATTACTGCACCCCAGAAAGAAAGAGAAGACTGTGGGTGGGATTGGAGGTGCGATGAGTGGACTGAACATGACAAGTCAATGGGTGGGCAATCAGCCAGTACACCGTGCACTGACTGGTGAGCCACCTCTGTGAATTACTGGGTAAAACCAGCATATGTCAACCAGACAATGTGTGAAAAGATGAGGGAAGAGCTTGAAAAGCACTTGAACACGGGGTATACCATCCCAACTTACATGGTTTGTCTTGCGTGGGATTGGGTGGGTATTTTTATGAAACTTTTGCTGGCGGATGTACCATGGATTTCATGGTCAACCCGTTGCATCCTGCGGGAAAGCTTCAACTGCAGCGCAGCCTTTACTGCTGAGCTGCTGATATATTTGCAGCTCAGGCTTCAGGACATGAGCCCACTGGCCCTGTTAGCTTCCTTCCCTTTTGTGGGTCAGTGTGATGTTCTTCATTCCATTCGGCTTTGGAATCCTTTTCCTTGACAGAAGTGGCACCGAGATCCAGGGCGTTCAGCGGAGATGAAGCATCTTCGATGTCGGGACCCTGCCACAGGAGCTTACAGCTCCTTGGTTTATTCATAGGCCTGCGAGGCATTTCGCCAAGGCATTGCCGAGATAGTATCCTTTTGGTGGTGTGAACAGTGACGACACTCTTGCAGCTTGAGACAGAAAACATTGATATAGCGCTTGTAGCAGCATTGTTGAGCCCTGGATCCAGGAATCCAAAGTGCTTGGCGGAAAGGATCCGCAAAAGCCACGCAATGATATGCCTGCTCAACTGGAAGATGTATGTTTATGATATTACTGGTTGGCGGTTGGGATTAATGGATTAGTTGTTTGCATTTCCATCATGGGATGATAATCTTTCCGGGATGGGTTGAAAGCAGCAACCAGCTGCGGAAGAGATCAGGGTGAAATCCACGTTTCGACTCTCCATGGGTCTACAAATTCCCAGCATAGAAAGGCTGGGGTAAGTTGGACCACATCGGCATCAAAACCACTGGCAGGTCATTCCTATGTCCTGCGAAAGCTGCTACTGCTTATGTGCCCCTTCCTGAAAATGCAGCAGGTGCCTTGAGAAAGGGTGAAATGATGACACCCCAAAGTCTGAACCTTCTTTGACTCGAAATTGCCGTTGGTGTTTGCTGATTTTGTAGCGAGAACATGGAGCATGGTCTAAAGCCACGTGGTCATTTCTTTTTTTCGGCTTGGTGGTTTCAAACATTTTCAAATATATTCATTTGATCATATGTTACCTTATTTTTCTTGGATCAGTGGTTTTTTTAGAGGAACATCCGAACACAGGATTTTCTATGTTAATTTCCATGGATTTTCCCATGAAATATGGAGGTTTCGTGTACCAAAAACCCTGCCATCCAGTCATCCAGTCATCGCGCCAGGGTCAGGGCCCTTCCGCCTGGGTGGGGGCCTTAGACGACCGTTTCGAGACTTGCGGCTTGCGATTTTCTACATACATATATACATACATTAGTCATTTAAAATATAGATATCATATGAGATATGACCTGTGTATATACATATATATATATAATTACAGTATAATAGACATCCATCTTTATGATTCTTTATGATTCTTTATAGACTTTACATAGATGTGAGAAAAATTGAACATGGATGGTCGAATGTAAATGGCTATGGCTATGTCCAGTCCACTTCGACATCTGTGGCAGTATTGCTGTACGGGCATGGCATGAGTCTTACTCTGAACAGTTCAGATAAGGCCTGAAATCAACACTGCTAAAATTTGAGGAACACCAGCCACAGATTGTAATAATGAGGCACCGCCTTTTTCAGAGAAAATTATCCAGCTATGATTCCGGTTCTTTCGGTTGAGGGGTTGACGCAGTACGTCCGCGGTCAAGAGAAACCAGTTCCACAAGGCCCTATGAGTAAAGGCAAGAGTGAAATTATGAATCACACCCATGGAAGATGAGAAGCCACTTGGAATGAAGACTTCACAACCGTATATGACACCCATATATATATACATACACATATGTACACATATATTTATATATGTACATACACACATACATGATATATATATATACATATTATATATATATGTAATTTAATACATATAATTCATAATATACATGATATACAATATATGTAGTATTGTATGTATTATACACATACGCCCTTCCAATTCATTCCAACATATCATAGGCTTCCGGTCGCCGAGGATTCCCCAGGCGACCTGAATGCTTCCAGTCACCAACGCGGTGTTGGTCCTGATGGATTGAAGGTGCCGCCGGAGTGTCCAAGTCGGCAGAGACCATCTGGTAATCAAAGATGGAAACCATAGGGAAACCCATAGGGAAACCCATAGGAAAATTGAGGTTTACCATCTGGTTATGACATTCACAGTTTGCCACGGAAAGATCCACCATGCTATTAATAGGTAAACCATCAATTTCTATGGGCCATCTATACCATGGTTATGTTAAATAACCAGAGGGTAATGGAAAATATGGATTGGATTTCGCCATTTATAGATGGAATTGATTGGAATTGTTCCCCCCCATTCATAGATGGCAATGTTTTTTTCCCCAATTTATAGATGATTTCCCCATTGAGGGCTCCACTTAAAGCATAGAAAGCTGCAGGTCGATGTTGATCAGTCAGCAACTCAACCGCTGATGCCCAGATAGGCCTGAAATGGGGGATGCCCAAACTGGATGGCTTATTTCATGGAAAATCCTAGCTATAAATGGATGATTTTGGGGTACCCCCATGGATTGGAAACCTCCATGTTAGAGTGAGGATCAAGCCTAGATCTGTTGCGCAACAATCTCTTGGTTCTCAAAGTTGATGAAAGCGAAGAATCCTCGAAATTCAAGTTTTGTCACATAACGGAGTTTGATTTCCATGAGACCACTCTGATTTTGGTGCCTTCCCAGTGACAAAATTTGAGGCCTGACTTATACATCCCAGTGATGTCATATGTCACCTACGTCCTGATCTATGGCCTGCACCCAGCTCAGTGAACCACTGGACCAGCAGGCAGTAAAAACTGCCTGCTGGATGTTCGTGGGCAGATGGGCAGATGGGCCATTCCAAGCCACATCTTGGGTCAAGCAGGTGAGAGCATGTTGTGATGTGAGCCACATGCCGAAGTGAAGAGATGCAGACGTCCGCAAAATCCAGAAATATCTGTTGACGGCGAATGGGACTAGCCACTGCACCTTTCACATGATACATCATGATACCCAGAATCTTACCGCACATCTTGAGAAGATCTTTAGTCCACTCTTAAAAAACTCAGCCATGAATCAGACTCTATATACAAGTATAGATCGTATAGATTTCCACATCCATCAAGTGAAAATCGCTGCCATGTGCCATGGCCTCTGGGCTCCACTTGTTGCCCCAACACGTTTGCCTGGTAGCCTGCCGCGGCGTCAGAACGGGAGACGTAAGGCTTCCTGGAAGCTACGGCGGTCAGAGGTGAGTTCCATGGCAGTTTGACCACTGATGCAACTTCCCTCCCAAGTAATCTTTGAAAAAAATCGCACTGAGTTCAGGCTGGATCTCAACTTTACAGGTTCATATATATATATATATACATATCCACATATATATTCACATATATATATATATATATTTATAGAGATCAACTGATAAACCATGATCAACCTCTGGCCATGTATTTGTTTCATTTTTCTTCTAGGTTTGCCATTCAAATCTGCTTGGAACCGCTGGCAGGTGGCAACATCCAGCTGCTTGGTGGCCCTGGCGCGACGCCGCAGTCGATACGTCACACCGGAGGAGGAGATCTCTGGATGTTTGGTGAACGCGGCAAGGCTAAGAATATGATAGTCATGGAAAATGGTCCATTTATGGATGATTTTCCCACTAAAACATCCATTTATAGAATGGGGATTTTCCATGGCTATGTTAAATAACCAGATGGTAAATCCAAGATAGGATGCACATTTAGGATAGTCACTCATATAATCAAATAGATATTAACGCAAATCATAACAATGAGAAGAATACGAATATGTAATCAGAATATACAAACAATACATGTATGAATACATATATGAGTGGGATAACGCATGTATCAAGGTGTTCCATGGACGTTGCATTGCTGTAGGTTTGCTGGGTCGATGGGTTCACTTTCTGATTCCGCAGC